TTGACGCCATAACCCTCATATTGTAAATGCCATTAATCATTGACGCCTGTTATGGCGAAAAAACTTTACTGACATGTGAAACAGGGGTTTGATTTAATTAATGATACTTTGTATATAAAGTTCAAAATTGCATACACACCTTACAAGGATAGTCAGTGTAATTACTAGGACAATAATTTTAGTAAAAGTAGATATCATTTTAAATAGAGATTACCTGTCAGTCGAATTTTAATCATGTTGGATGCATTGCTTATTTTAATTGTAGTCATTTAATGTTACTAGTGTTAGCTTAACACTAGAATTAGGTGTAGTAAAACTGCCGTATGTTTAATAAATCCGTTTATTCTTCCTTCGCAACGTGAACAACACTGCCCCTCTCCTATAACATCACCAACCTTATATAATAAAAATCCCCTCCAATATTTCCTCACCTTAAATCTACAACTACCCTCTTGGTTATATTTTTATTTGCTTAAATATATAACGTATCATTACGGTATAAATATTAAATAAATTAACACAAATCTCACATAATTATTAAGTATACAACATTCGGCCTTCCTGACAACATTGTTTGTCCTCAAACAAAGAAAAAATAAACATTTAACTAAAAAAACAAACCACGACTCTTAATTAGGTTTACAACATTCGGCCTTCCTGACTATATTGTTTGTCCTCAAACTAACTGAAAAAAAAATACAAATAAAATTTAACATAATTCAAATTCAAAATAACATTATACGATCAATTATTTATCCTGGAAAACTCATCAGGCTTACAAATTATGTTTCTGATAATACCGATTATCCGGTTTTGAATTAATTAATCCTGGCACTCTCATCAGGCATTAGTTAATTTTTGTCACAGATTTCAATTAATTAACCCTGGAACACTCATCAGGCATTAGTTAATTTTTGTCACAGATTTCAATTAATTAACCCTGGAACACTCATCAGGCATTAGTTAATTTTTGTAACAGATTTCAATTAATTAACCCTGGAACACTCATCAGGCATTAGTTAATTTTTGTTACAGATTTCAATTAATTAACCCTGGAACACTCATCAGGCAATAATTAATTTATGTTACAGATTTCAATTAATTAACCCTGGAACACTCATCAGGCATTAATTAATTTTAGTTACAGATTTCAATTACTTAGCCCTGGAACACTCATCAGGCATAAAATTTCTACTATTAATCATCACTGTCCGTACTATCGGGTTTTGAATTAATGTGTGCAGTTATCCATGGCTGTATTTGATCAACAGCCCATATATTACAATATTTTTTCTTTCCTATACTTACTCCAGGTATACTAGAGACCTCATACCTATCGTTATCTAAAATTTTTGTTATCCTATAGGGGCCAGAGAAAACAGGATGTAGTTTCTTACTTTGACCGTCGTTTGGATTGGTTTGCTTTTTTATTTTAACCAAAGCACCTAGTAAATATACTTTCGGATCTTTACGTTTTTGGTCATAGCGTTGTTTTTGTTTCTGTTGATCAATTTCAATGTGCTTCGAGACCTCTGATCTAACTTCAGCTAAATCTTTTGTTCGAATTCGCGTGTCTAAGAAAACATCAGAAAACATATTTTCACTACCATTAGTTAAAGATCGACCAAACAATGCCTCAGATGGTGTTTTACCTATTCCTTTATTTAACGTATTATTAAGACCCCATTGAATCTTTCCTATCTCTTGATCCCATTTAGATTCACCCAATTCTTCCGTGTATGTACTCAGTGCTGCTAAAACCGTTCGATTATATCTTTCAACTTGCCCATTTGATCTAGGTGAAGCAACGGCATTTAGAATATGCTTAATGTGTGACAATATACAAAAACTTTCGAATTCTTTTGACGTAAAGCTTGAACCTCTGTCAGAAATAAGCCTACAAGGAAATCCGAACATAGAAAATACGTCATTTAATGCTATTATAGTAGGTTTAGATTTTAAATTTCGGAGAGGTTTTATAATACAATATTTTGTAAAACCATCTACAATTAATAACAAATACATATTCCCTTTTTTACTTTTTATGAAGGGGCCTAAGTGGTCGATATGAACGGTATGAAATGGAACATCTATTTTAGGAATATTATGTAAATAGCCTTCTTTTTTACCTGAAACATCTTTTGTGTATGCACAGTGCATACAGGAGTTTACGTATTTTGTAACAAACTTTCTCATTTTTTGAAACCAAAAGTCTTTTTTTATTTTTGCGAGAGTTTTTTCTACAGAAAAATGACCAACATCGTCATGATTTTGTTGACATATCTGCCACCTAGCTCCCTTTGGGACAACCCACTTTAGATCGTTGGCCCCTACTTTACGAAATAATTTATTGTCTTTCAGTACAAAATTTTGTTTAATATCAGTAACATCATTGTATTTGACATCTTGTAATACTTCACGTATATGGCACAATTTTGGATCTGATAATTGTAGGCTGAGCAACCAATCCTCACTATTTATAGCAAAAACGTGTTCTACATTTGGCTCAAGGTATTTAGTGTGGACCGATTTTTTAATTGACTGAACAGGGTTACGACTGAGGGCATCAACATGCGACATTTGATGATTTGGCCTATATATTATTTCGCAGTCATACTCCTGCAAAGCTAACCACCACCGAGCAATCCTAGGGAGAAGATCTCTTTTTGTGAAAGTTGCGCGTAAAGCACTGCAATCAGTGACGATTGTGAACTGAACACCTAACAAATATACGCGAAAACGCTTTAATGACTCGATAACAGCTAAAGTCTCTAGGTCATAGGCATGAAACTTTTGTTCGTCAATAGTGGTTTTCCTACTAAAGTATGCTATGGCTTTCAAGGGACTGGTATCATTTTCTCTTTGGAGCAAAATGCCGGCTAGTCCCATTTTGCTTGCATCCGTGTGAAGCTCAGTTTTAAATTTTGGGTCATATAGTGCTAGTATAGGTCTTTCAAGTAACTTGTTTACCAAGGTTCTAAATGCACCTTCTTCCTCATCATTCCACTGCCATGGATATCCTTTTCTTTGTTAAATTAGTAAGAGGTTGAGAAATAACAGCATAATTTTTAATGAACTTTCGAAAATAGCTTGTCAAGCCTATAAACTGTCTAATCTCATGGACATTCCTAGGGCAAGGGAAATTCCTTACCGCTTCAATTTTTGCTTTGCCTGGCCGTATACCTTCGGCATTAATTTCATAGCCCAGATACTCGATACTGTCTTGAAAGAAGTGACATTTTTTTAAATTCAAGGTTAGATTAGCGCCGTTCAGTAAATCAAAGGTTTTTTCTAATTTTTTAAGGCCCTCATCAAATGTTTTAGATGCAACTATTAAGTCATCCATATAGGCTAATGCAGGTTTACCAATTAGATTATCTGGATCGATACGAGGACTTTTCAAAGCTAAAGCTTTAGTTATTGTTCTTTGAAATACCGAAGGGGCATTAACTAATCCGAAAGGAACACGTTTAAATTGATACAGACCATTAGGTGTAATAAAAGCCGTTAGATGCCTACAATCGGCTTTGACGGGAATTTGGTAATAGCCGCTAGTTAAATCTAAACAAGTAAAATATTTACTGCCGCTTAATTGATCGATTTGGTCCTCAATAAGAGGGAGTGGAAAATGATCCTTTAATGTACGTCTGTTTAAAGCACGATAGTCTACGCATAAACGTTGACCTCCAGTCTTCTTTGATACGAGCAAAATTGGACTAGCGTATGAGGATATTGATTCTTCTATGATATCATTTTGTAGTAGCTCGTCAACCATGGTTTGAACAGTTTCTCTTTCCTTGTGACTAAGTCTATAAGGCCTATATACTACAGGTGTTTTATCCGTTAGTTCTATATCCATTTCTGTCAAATTCGTGCAACCTAACTCCGTGAGGTTTTGTGCGAAAGCCTTCCGATACCGTTCTATTAATCTAAATACTTGTTCTGATTCATAAGTGGTCAGAAATTTATTAATGTTAACATCTTTTTTATCGATCGGTTCCTGAACTGTTTCGATGCCAAAACAGAGTTGATTTTGTTGTATCTGGACAGTTGCATTAATTTTCCCCGCGCGAACTAATATAGAATCTTTGTTTAGCTTTACAGATGTAGGAGTAATTACTATAATATTTGTTCTACCATCTTTAACTTCATATACCCCTTCTTGTATCCAATATTCTTTACCCAAAAAACAGCGATAACAACCCGGTACAAATAACGTAACATTTAAGATATTTGGAGAATAGCAAGGTACAACAGCTACTTTATCAAAATTTATTGTTTCATAAACAAATAATTCAACAGTATTATAAGTCTCATGCTCAATACAAGAAAAGTCTGTTGGGATATTGCGATCAATTAATTCCAACGATTCGTTGGTTTTGATGACTAGAACATGAGGAAGTTCAGTAAAATTTTGACCGATAAGTAAAGGTACGTGCAACTGGTCAGATAAAATCACGTAAGCGACAATAAAAGCTTCTACAGAGTCGATTCTTACTTTAAAATATGTTTTGCCGATAGGTTTTATCGATAAGTTAGCAAAACCTTTTATATTAGGCATCTGTCCCGTTTCCAATTTTAATCCATACTTATCGAGTAAGCTATCTTTAATAAGAGAACAATCGCTACCAAAATCTATGAAACACTTTATGTTCTCTTTGCGCTCCCCTAACACCGCTGTTTTGTAAAATTTATTTTGTGTTTTAAGTAATTCTATTTTCATAACTCTTTTTTCTGCTGTCAATTTACTACTATCCTTATTTTTCAGGAAGCAATTATCACTCTTATGTCCTAGTTTATGGCAGTGATCACACTTAATAATTGGGTAGGCACACTGTTGTGTTCTATGACCTTGTTGTTTACAATTAAAGCAAATTATTGACCTACACTGTTTATAATGATGTCCAACTTTTTTGCAATTATTACAAATTACATTTAAATTAGGTCTATCAATCTGATTGTTTTTAAACTTGGTTTTGTAACTCTTATCTGTATTTTCCCTACACATATCTTTTAAAAATCCTAGCAGATCCTCCGGATGGTGGAACCTTGCAGAAGAAGCACTAGCTTTAAGCGTCCTATCGTCTAAGCCGTAAATTATACAATCTACCGCCTTTTTCTCCGAAATGTTACAAGCGTTTAGCAATATCATTTTATCGTAATAATATTCGTCTAACGATTCTCCGGGTTTATAGCGCCTGTCTAACATCTCAGATAATAACGCACCGTAGTTGGTCTCAGATGGGAAAGTTCTTTTTAGACATTTTTGCCATTCTGACCAGTTACGATTAAGTGACTGCAGCCCTTCATACCATTTCTTTGCATGTCCTACCAGACGGGGAAGTGCGAAATGAGACGTTTGTTTGTCATCCCATCCATAGATTTGAGCACACTCATTAACCTTAGATATCCAAGTTTCAATCCTATGATTTTTAACTGTTGGGTCAAATTCAGGGATAATGCTTTTATCAAAATGTAGCTTTTTAGGCTGCTCATGTTTAGTAAACGTAGTCATGAGACTTACGAAATCTTTGAAGGTAGGATTATTAAGTAAATCACTCATACCCGATGGTGGGACTCCTTGTGGCTGATCAGTCCTCTCCCTGCTCAGGTGGTTGTCTGCCGCGACGGACCCATGTCCGGCTTCGTGGCTACGGGAGCGGCTACGTGAATGGCGTAGCTCGTAGGCGTGCAGGTGGTCCGGTCCACGAATCTGTTCGCGGCTGTGCAATCGACCACGGGTGTAGAGTCTTCCCAAGCTAGAACCCTGCTCGCTCCTGTGCAGGCGTCTTAACTCGCGATTGCGCTCACGACTGCGCTCGCGACTACCTTCAAGCCTGCGCAAAATACTCAGTTCGCTATTACGCTCATGATTGCATAAGCTAAATTGCTCTCCACATTCACGCCTGCGCAGGGTGTAAGACTCGCGACTATTCTCGTTGCTGCGCGAGAAGTCAATCTTGGGAGTACCTTCGGGGCTTCTAACAGAATCAGGTTCGCAGCTATGTCTGTGACTGCGGAAGTGACTAGACCTGGAACTACGCTCGCGGCTGCGCAAGTGCCGACGAATGTTGGAATGTTGACTGGGTGAAGATACTATCAATTGTTCTAAACGCGGACTACGCGATCTCAAATTATGGGCACTTGAATTCCCAGCCAGTTCTTGTACTGAATGACTGAGGCTCCTCGCGCGAGAGTCTCTCTCGCTAACTGGAGACATCGGCGTTGAATTCATGACTGAAATCAAGAATTATTTCGGACATAACTTGTTCATAGATATATTTATTTTATTTCCCTGAAACCTCCTTAAAATACTATCATATTAGCTAAGGAAACAAGAAAAAAAACTGCGGCGGGTATGAACTAATAATTCCTTTACGTTATATAATATACATTTCACAATAGTGAGTTTATTAGTGACTATAATATGATAGAAAGTTGACAGTAATACACCCGAATAAAGTAAAAAGAGTTCTTATTAATATTTAGTATGTTGTAAGTGCCCTACCACGCTTCATATCTTAAACATTAATAAATAGCATGTATAGTTAGTTCACGAGGTATCATTTATAGGTTAAGTACACTTGGAATCGATTATAACCCAAGTATAAATCTTATTTGTACAAATAAATACATCGCGACCACTGATACATGTAAAGTGTAGGATGTATGTGTCACCTCTGCGATTGAAAGACCTTGTTAAAAAAATATGGGTGCTAACACATCTCTGACCGCCCAGGCGTGATTTTAATCTTTTTTTTTTTTTTTTAAACTGAATATTGTACACACGAATCATAGTTATAGGGAGAGAATTAAAATAAAATAAAAAATTTATTAACACTTCAAAACTTACCAATATTCGGCGTCAAGTAATCCCACTTCTGAACTGTTAGCTTAACACTAGAATTAGGTGTAGTAAAACTGCCGTATGTTTAATAAATCCGTTTATTCTTCCTTCGCAACGTGAACAACACTGCCCCTCTCCTATAACATCACCAACCTTATATAATAAAAATCCCCTCCAATATTTCCTCACCTTAAATCTACAACTACCCTCTTGGTTATATTTTTATTTGCTTAAATATATAACGTATCATTACGGTATAAATATTAAATAAATTAACACAAATCTCACATAATTATTAAGTATACAACACTAGTAACTAGTACTCTTATTGTAAACTTTTAAATATAAGCAATATGTATTGTGTAAAAGTTTTAGCTTTCTACACTTCTACTGCATATTAAATACTCAATATTCGAAACATGATATGCTTCTATGCGCAAAGCACTTTCTTCATGTATTAACATAGAGATTTAAATTGAGACTTAGATTGACCTTTTAAAACTTTTTAATCGATTACTTATTGGAATATCGAATTGAATTCGTCTTTTTACTTATCTACTTCTGTGATTTTTACTGTATCCTATCGAGTGTGTATCTTGTTCATAGCGAGTATCTATTTATCTATTTTATGCGACTTTACGATGAACTATTTCTGCCCTACATTTTTCTCACTTTTATTTAGGTCAGCATAATATTTTTTTTCATATTACAATCTACTTTGTAAATCTTCATTTATCTGCTTCTACTTCTCTATTTTAGCTATATAGTCTTCACGTAGTCCATCTATATTCTATTTGGTTGTCACCTTCTCTTGAACCCGTCAAGTTGAATTTCACAGTTCATTATCACCCATTCTTCCTCCTTCTCTCCAATTTTTCATTTACTGGCCTTGTTTTCGAACTCCTTTGAATGTATTTATTCCTCACCTTGTATGTCTTAACAAAAGTTGTTATTTTTACTATATACTCTTAGTATATTAACCTGTACTTCTGTTAAATCCATAATGACCTAAAGTTGCATGCGGATTTTGTAATTTGGATCTACAATAAAAATAATTGGGCTATTATTGCAGCCGTTCTCTGTTGGAGTATGTTAGGATTGTTTAGTATTTTGCTCTATTAATTCTTGCTGCAGTGGTGTGACGATAATTGGATTTATTAAAACGTTAAAATGTAATCCTGAATACTCCATAAGTGTATTTCTTTATATCTATAATTAAATAATTCCTTTACATTAAAGAGTCAGATGGCATTCTTGTGTCTTATATAATTTCTAATTTTTTACACCACATTGCAAACTTTGCACTGCCTGTAGTTTCTGTGTACTTTGATTTTTTTTAATGGAAAAGGGGGCAAACAGGGGGGGGTAGACAGATCTCCTGAAAGTCACTGACTTTTACTATAATGATATAATGACTAACACTTTTTTCTTATAAGGTGTTAGGCGTATTTTGTCTAGAAGGACCACAGCCATGGGTGACTTCACCATATTTTCGGCTTCAAGTACACCGGAGGTTAATTACACTGAATGATTTTACTGACTCAGCACTTCTGAGTCACTGAACTTGATAGCACACGTCACGATTGGTAGAGTCAGCATAAAAGAAACCTGTATCGACTACTTGTTCATTGAAATATTTAATGTTCATATTTAAAAGTTCTACTTATAGAATCAATAAATTAAAATTGTTTGGATCTAAAAGAGTCTTATCCAATTCAATTGTTCTTTAGAGTGGCTTATAACCTAATTTAATAACTTCACGTCTCACACGGCCGTCTGATTCCAAATTAGACAGAGCCTGTGCTAACCAGATTGCTGGTAAACATACTTGTATATTTCTAAATATTATACTTATTCGTTCATACATATCAGAGATAAATTACACTCAGACAGAGAACAAATGGTCACCTAATTATTTGTCTTGGATGAGAATCGAACACACGACCTTTGGTTAAGCAGTATTGCTAACCACTAGACCAATAGGCCAGTGAAATCTGTTCATTAACAAAAAGCAGTGTGTATAATAGTAATAACTTTTGCCCGCGTCTTCGCCCGCGTGTATCTCAGTTATCGCGGTAAGTAGCAGCCTATGTCCTTCCTTAAAAATCAAACTACCTTCTTACCAAATTTCATCTAAATCGGTTCAGCAGTTATTGATTTCCCATTCAAAATTCCACCCCATTTTCACCCCTTTAAAGGATGATTTATGTGATAAAAACTATTCTATGTCCTTTCCCGGGTGTCAAACTATCTCTACACCAAATTTCATCTAAATCGGTTTAGAGATTTAAGCGTGAAGAGGTCACAGACAGACAGACAGACACGCTTTCGCTTTTATAATATTAGTATGGATACTGACTGAAAAACACAGATAATGTTAACCTATTTCGTTGGCTGTGTCTACGATAGTTCAAAGCTTACTTAAAATTCCACCGCCTATACATATAAAAATGTTTCTATTACATAATATAATGTTCATTGACTTCTTTTGTTGTTTTGCATTTTTTTTTGCTATCCGTACACAATTCAATATCGTAAACGATCGATAACACGTGGTGCACTGGCGTATAAGTACACTCCAAACTTGACCACTCGAAGACATGCAACCATCTAGAAATTTTGTGAATGTGGGTGGGATTAGTCCCTACAAAAGAAACCATCTGGAAAAAACTTTGTTTCTCTTTCTTTCTTCTTGTTAGGTTGTTAAGTACGCGTATCATGCATCAAGTTAAAAATGCAGTTTCTTTAAAAGTTTTGTAGTACCACCTTGCGTAATAGATAAAACACTCAGCTTACTATCTACCAGGGACCAGAGAATTCTGTGGTATTTTGGATATACAGCCAGAAAGGGTTCTGGTAACCTTAGAAAAGCAGATTCTCTTTGGTGAAGTAGAGGGAAAAGATTACGAGGAAGGCCGAGGGCACTTCACCACCTGGTTGAAGCGAATCAAATTGTTTTTAATTTTATAATCACAGCCGTTATCCGTCAGGTTGTTGAAGGTGAAGTAACATTTCAGAATCTAGTAGAAACATCCACACGACAACAAATTTAGTTATTGAAGAACTATTAAGAAGAAAAAAATCATTTTACTGGTTTGAGAATACTCCGTACTATAGGATTATTGAGTTGATGTAGTATTTCTTTTAGAAAGACTTGAATAAAAATGATTGATATTTTGCCGATCGGAACGATGGTAGAAAGCTGCGACCGGAGTATTTCTCCCTACTAGTTGTTTTAACGCAAGACCTAATAAAGAATGGGAATAGTATTCGTTTTTCAGTTGCTTAGAGGTGTAGAGGTTCTGTGTAGAAATTGACTTAAATTGACTCTATCAATTTGAGGTCAATTTGATTGAAGGTTTTGATTTACTTTGGATAAATTTCATCCCCTACTTGACCTAGATCTTAACCTTGTAGATCTAGATTTTACGATACTAAACTCGTGAAAGTTTTTGCTGATCAATAAATGTGGACTCCATTAAATATTGTCCTTAGCTCTTTTAGTTAGATTCTTAAAACTGTGCATTTTGAATAGTTTTAAGACAAATGCTCAGATAACATATTACTGAGTTTCTGCAGATATCTATGTATATAAATTGAAATCGATCGATTCGCTAGTGCAAACGTACCTTAGAATAGAGACCGCGTATCATCTTAGCTTTCGTTTAGTCAGACCATCTGGAGGGAGAGCGCCCTAGCCTGATGGACTGACGATCTCAGAAAGGGAAGTGAGGTAGATTGGATACGGAAGGCGGATTACCAAGGGATATGACATACGTTGGGAAAGCCCTATGTTTAGCAGATAAATCCTATACTTTCATTTACGCCAGAACTATTACAAACTTTTTATTATCATGCAATGTTGGTATATTAAGTATGTCTGTTCGTTAAGAATCTTGGAAGCTAAATCAAACCCACTTGCCAATGTCCGATTTGGCTCAAATTTGGTGTAAATGTATCTTCAGTGAAACATAATACTATGGTATTAGGTGTTCTGTTGATGGAGCCGGAAGACGGCCGTAGGAACTTCTTAATCAACCGAGATAAACCCATCGAGTTTGGGTTTAATTGTTTTATGTACTTTAATGCTGCACAATACCCAGGGCCTATAAAGGCTATGAAAAAAATAGAATCAATTTATTGTACTAAATTTTCGAGATAATTTGTTAATTTCAAAGTAACATTTCTAGAATTTGACCACACCATTCTCCAACACAATTACTGACGTAAATATGTTATTATTGCGGTAGTCAGCCACTATATATAAATAAAGGAAATTACCTCAAATCTCGGTCAGAAATCCGGCAAAACAAAAATAGAATCGTATTGTAGCAAGTGTTACAACTCTTGTATAAATTAATTCAAAAGCTGGCCTATTTGATGGAAGCTTGTACCCAATTGTAATGACCCTGTATCTTTATGGGTGGTTAACATGAAACATTATTATAATGTCACCTTTGCACCATACTGGTTAATAAAACTGTGCAGATATTATCCAATACACAAACTGGACAAAGTATTGGTGCTAAACTATCAGAAGTAGTACATGTTTTATAATCCGTCTAGAATAAAACATTTTTTGTGTAATTTTTCTGTAAGTCGTGGGACTTAAGAGTCTACACAAGCGACGATTTCAATAAAAATTTTTTATGAAAAAAAGATATTTTGAGTTTGAGTTTGATAAGGGATGGAAGGGTGTCAGATGTTAGGTGGGATGTCAGATGGTACACAACAAGGGACTACTCTGATGCTAGCTCGATGAGAAGATGGAAGGTGATGACAGCCATGTTTTTTCACAAATAGACTGGCTCGACAGGAGTGATTCCACGGCCTCGCAGAAAGCTGATTTAAGATAAGCCATTCTTTCGTTGCGCAGTGGCACTCAACAGCCCTCCATCGGCAGTGCTATATATATTATAGTCACTCTATATCAGGTAACCATTAAAAAAAATTCAGATTTACATCTTCAAGTATCCGTCTTTTTATCTGACCTTACAACTATGGATAATTTTAGTGAAAAGTACAATTTGAAAAATAATAATAATTTATTTTTGTATAAAAATTATAAATTATGTAGCTGCTTCGATTTTGTCCTGTTGATCCGTTCGTGATTTCCTCGAATTAGGTAATATAAAAGCAAGTGTACCGCAAACTGTAAACAAAAATAATGAATTCCTTTTTTATTTCATCGTTAAATCATTTCTAACTGTTATTAATAACTATTACAATGTTGTTCTTTAATTTCATTTTAACATATCTTTTCATAACACAACGTGGGGAAGCGAAAGTCTTCTCCTTTCTTCTGCGTAAAAGAGAATCGTTTTCTGAGTGAGTTTCCAAGAGTTATATAGAGGAAAATAGTATTTTGGATGTATTTTTTTGTGCGATTGATCAATAGGGGACGTCAGAACAATCGGAGAAAATGATAGACTGTGTGTGTTGGACTCAAACGACTCAAAACTCATATACTATTTTAAACAACAACAACTGTTACGAAAGCCTCTATTCTTTAATGATATTCATCACATCACACATCTACAGCCTATGATAGTGCACTGCTGGACGTAGGCCTTTCCAACTCGTCTAGCCAGCGTGGTATAGTAGGCCAAAACCTCCTTTCTAAGGAGGGGCCTAATGATATTATCACACTTCAAAAGACAATTATTGCTATTAATCTGATACTCGATGGCTCAGGTATACTTACAAAGTAACAAGCCTCCAAAAGAATAAAACATGATCTCGCAGTAATTGTTGATCATCAGACCAGCTACATTGCTCCCGAAGATAGACCCTACACGACCAAGCATCATGGATAAACTTACTGCCATTCCCCTGAAAGTAAAAGGAGTTTTTTTAGGACACACAAACTGCAAGGATCGCGTAGTGATTTAAGCGGTCACCACGCCGCTTCAACCATGAGTGTTGTGGATTCAATCACTATATGGGACAACACTTTGTGTGATCCATAAATTGTTGTTCTGAGTCTGGGTGTTCTTTGTGCCCATAGGCGGAGCCTGTACTACGAAAACCAGACTGCTGATAAACATACTTATATATTTCTAAATACATACGTATTATAGATAAATTACAACCAGACACAGAACAAACAATCGTGCCCATCACACAAATTTAAAAAAATAATATCCTGGGTGGGAATGGAACCCACGACCTCCGACTTAGCAGACAGGGTCACTAACCACCAGACCAACATGCCCGTCATAGATATGTTCATAATTATCTATTTATAATTATTATTAATATTTAATAAGTTATTATCATAAAATGTTCTACTTGTCCGTTACTACAGAGAAGAACCATTTAAGAAAGAATATTATTGAAATCGATTCACAAATAGTGAAGACAGTAACATACACACAAAAGACTAAAAATTCAGTTGGGTATTCAACTACCTTCTTTTTAAGTCGGTTTAAATGTAGAAATTTAGAAGAATTAATAGTAGTTAGTGTTCACCCATGGGTCGGTATTCTACCAGAATCCTCATTATTAGTTATTTGTGATCTCTAGATATAAATATGGATAAGGCCTTAAGGTTGCAGCATAAAAACTTGCATAAAAATGACCCCATAAAAAGCATGCAAGGTTATATATTACGAGCAGAACTTTCTTAACCACAAGAACATAAGTCTTACCTCAAATGTGTGGGAAATAGCTCCACTGTATAGGCATTTACAGGGCCTATCGCCAATGCCATTATGGGAATTGGTGATAAAAGAAACGCAAAGATCATGTCGTTTGTTGTAAAGTTGATGAGGATTGCAAAAACACCTGGAAAAGAAACAATCAATGGTTGATATTGAACACTGGATATGATACAAAATAGTTCAGAATCTAGTTGTGCCTGTAGTGGACTCTAATTAACTTTTAAACTTTCTTGTGCCATGATATGTAATCATGTAGGTACATATATATACATTGTTGTCCGTGTGGTGACGGATTAAGAATACAGAGTGTCAGCACCACTATTCATCCCGTGGGTGACGTATGAAGCGACTAAGGGAGCAAGCTAAGCAGGACAACAGTACTGCAGAGAGAAGGAAAACTTGACACAGACCCTATACCAACCCGTCTGGCCAGCGTGGTATAGTAGGCCAAAACCTCCTTTCTAAGGAGAGGTCTATGTCCAGCAGTGGACTAGTGAAGGCTGTTGATGATGATTGATGAGGTACATATACGGGAATTAATGCGATCGAAAAGATTACACTGGCCCTGGTCATAGCCTGACAGACGGTCAGAGCAATCTGATCGAAACGTCAGACAATGCTAAAGCTGCTTATCTGTGACGACCTGTTACGTGATCGTTTAAATTTTTATTGCTGTTATAGGTATATTCAATAGTCCTTTATGGCTAATGGCTAATAAATTCTCTATACTTACCCATGTACTGACAAAGACACGCCTGAGCTATCATTTATTAAGTCATCAAATAAACTAATAAAAAAATGGCAGGGAGCATGTGGTGGATGGATGCCACCTCAGTACTAATTTTCAGTGTCCACTTTAGTTGTCGCCCTGATGCCGACAGGCGCAATTGCATATGAGAATAAAGTATACAAGTGTCATCATCAACAGCCTTTACTAGTCCACTGCTGGACATAGGCCTCTCCTTAGAAACGAGGTTTACAAGTGTAACTCTAGTTGTGGATCAAATTTAGCAGGGTAAGCGATGATTTCGAACTAACCTACTACAAGTTTAATATTTCTCATCTGATTAGGTACTGTCGAATACATGTACATATAATTATTCTACGTTCGATTGCAGGTCCTTTACATATTTACTATTTATATGTAAAATAATCATAATATGTTACCCATGAGATAAAAGCACCCAATCATCAGTTTCTTCTTTCCGAAGAATTTGACGGTAGAGCTAACTACTATAGCAATAACTGCACAACTCAACTGAGATATTGAGTTGATTATGAATGTCATTTCCTCTATTGTGTCATCGCATTCAGCATCTTCGACTACCGTCTGTAAAAGAAAAACAAAATCAGAATTTCATCAGGCCATATCCCCAGTATAGAGCAGGAAAAAGAGTCGACTAGATAGGTGTTTAAAAAAATACCAACTGAGATATTTCGACGTATTTTGGTTTCTCTCGGTAAATCATGATAATATAACTAAAATGCAACAGCTGAGACCGTGCCATTATGTTGTAATTTGCTGTTAAAGTTGCTAAAACTAAGTTTTTCGCCATTATAAATTTTCCTCGACTTTTTACAAAGAATTGTACAATGTGAAATTTGAAGATATTAAAAATATCTATAAAATCAGACTTGATGCGTTCCAATTGGTTATTTTGTTTTTTTTACAACATGCAAACATCGCTGTTTCGCTCCTTTTCTCAACTTTGGACTAATTATAAGATGGAATCGATAAATAGTATTCGAGCTACAACAACATCTTTAGGCAACTTATGGGACTACTACGCTACTGTAGCACTTCCGGAATGTTCTTCGAGGCGTGAGTTAACTGCTTTGAAGCCATCCAGAGAAACTGTATAGTAAAATTCATGTCCAGAGTTGACCGGTGTAAGAATACCATTATAAGAAGTCTTTCAGAATGAATTATCATGTATGTACAAGAGAAGAGAAGGAGAGGCCTATGTCCAGCAGTGGACTAGTAAAGGCTGTTGATGATTGATGATGATGATGTATGCACAAGCACTGGATCAAAACGGCAGGATAATTCATTCTACTTCTTTTTTGTAGACTTTGTACTTGTGTTCGCAATAAAGTTTTATTATTATTATTATTATTTTTAGAAATACAGAAGTCGAACATAACTGCAAATGCAGAAGCGTTAATGGTAATACTGAAAGTGAATTCGTCGCACGACAAGCACCTGTCATTTAATCTAGACTAAAACGAGCCTACCATTAAATTACTATCATCATCATCATCATCATCATCAGCCTATCGCAGTCCACTGCTGGACATAAGTGGACTGCGATAGGCATTATTATTCATTCGATCTAAGGGGCGTGCAATGGGAGAGGCCTATGTCCAGCAGTGGACTGCGATAAATTAGTATGAGCTAATGTAATTTAGCCCTAAAGAAGCTTGTGTGGTTAATAATATGTTGTATAAATACACGTACCTGATTAAATCTATCAAAAATAACTTCACACGCTGTTCTTCCACCTCCACCGCTGGTTATCACACGGTTGATAACGTCAGGAACCCATATGTAAAGCCCATTCAAACTGTAACATTAAAAATAATCTAATTATATTTATGAAATAAATAGGAACCCTTGGCTTGACGGTGATGTGTATAAATCGGTTGGGGATACCGACCTTAAAATCCAGCTGCAGGATACGAGTTACATACACACAAATATTGCAAGTTAAACAAAAACAGATCATAAAAATACAAAATTCTCACACTATCGTCCCTATATACTCGTATATTGGAGGTGGCTACCTTTGTAAAAAAAATCCTCACTTATTTCCTAAGCTATCGGACCATGTAAGACGTAATCGCCGCGACAATGATAGACTTTGTGTCCATCCAGCAAAAACAGCCCTGATGCATAAAAGTGTCGTATGTAAAGCGCCGTTGATATTTAACAAAATTCCCAAATATATTAAGATCTTGGACATGAATGAATTTAAGACGAAATTTAAAACATTATAAGCTGAAAATTGTTATTATAGACTAGAGGATTTCTTGAATGGCAACACTTTATAACCATACATATAATGTATCATTGATGATTTTTTGCGCTTTTTTGTATGGTTGATGGATTATTGATAGCAGCAAATATATTTATGTTGAATATTGAATGTTTTAGATTAAATGAATTAATGACGACGGTTAATAGTTGATAATGTATACCTATAACCATTATATTCGAGTCCTTTCGTTGTAACTGTTTTTTCTTTTTCTTTTAATATTTTTAAATGTTAATAATAAATTTTGCATGTAGAAAGATGATATTGTTAAATTAATTTTATATTTGTACACCGGTAACGGTTAAACATGTCGATCAGGCAATATCATTTAACATCTTTAATGTACACATGTTTATGCAAATAAAATATCTTGTATCTTGTAAAGTAGTTAAAAGACTGACTGGTCTGTTGGTCCAGTGATTAGTGATCGCGACTGCTGAGCTAGAGTTAATAGGTTCAATGGCCTGCCAGATCAATAGTTTTGTGATGAGCACGATCATAAGTTCGGTGTCAGGGTGTAGTTTATCTATAATATATGTATTTAATAGTATTTTAGATAATACCTGATCACGTAATACGAATTTCTTTCTTTCTTAATTTCTTTTTTTAATAAGAACTTTGAATATATCTGTAGTTCAACTTACACTGAAAAAACTCCAAATAACAAGAAACCGTTCAGTAGCAGCCATCTTAAATAGGTCCATTTAAGTAAAGGCACGCTTTGTACTGCAATCGAGTCTAAAAATCCAGTCTTGTCTCTTTTAATTGGTTGAGATATCAATTTTGTTATCTGCAATGTATATCATTTTAAGTTATTAAATAATTTAAACACAAAAGAAGGATCTTTCGAGCATGTTGGACGTGAGAACTTCCATTGCGCGATCCAGGATTAAAAGTTATTCTATAGTTCGGTGGTCTTTGTTAGAAGTATTGAGGTTCATTTCTCGTTATATTTGGAGGTCGCTTGCTAGCATTTAACATGTAGAATCACACAACACGAAATTAGAATTTCATAATATTCACTGCTATTTTTTGAGTTAAAAATTGAAACAAGAAGTATTCTACTATAATATCATCAATCATCATCATCAACAGTCTTTACTATTCCATTGCTGGACATGGTCCTCCCATTAGAAAGGAGATTTTGGCTTACCTTAACTTAGTCTAAAAGCATTTTATATGATATGGCAGGAAAGACTTTAGAATTGAAGAAGAGTTGAGAAGTTTATTTCCTACTGTACTCCTTAATCTTTTCCTCAATTTAATATACCTTTTTTACCGCAGGAGTGCCATGTCTGAGCACAATGAGCCAGGCTCGAAAGTAGAGGCACCAGAAGACTGATGTTAATTTTCTTGCTTATCACGGAGTAAGAGACTACCCCTGAACCTGGGCAGGGAGGTTCAAATGGACGTACTTGTAACTCCTGAGATGTCAGGTGTCCATGGGCTGTTGTCATTTACAGTTAACCCGTCCCACACCAGTAAGTAAGTAAACCTCTTGGCGAGAAGTCCGGCCACTCTAAAATTTCATTGGTTATTTTATACTTACTGGATATTCTTCAGGTTTCTTGCCTTTGTTTCCTGCGTACATGTCTTGTAATACTTTGAGAGCTTCATCACACTTATTGACTGAAACCAAATACTTCGGACTCTCCGGGGCAAATATCAATAACAGTCCGGGTACTATAAAGAACGTGGCGTAGATTATTGGCAGAAGACGCCAAGGTCTGAAGACGTATGATGCACCAATTACTAATCTAAAGTCTGTAGGTATGATTGCCCACGCTAGCACTGAAAAACAATATATCAATCAAATAAAAATCATTTAAATAAATGAAGGTAATTATGGGCAAATTATTAACCAAATAAAACATTGATACAATAACTAAAAATGTTTGCGAGAATTACGCCTTCACGATAGATGTTGTTCACCACAATACAAGTTCTGCCTAGTTTGAGATGATGCCTTCATGACACTCGTGCAAGCTACGTATTTCAGAATAACTTCCTATTTAAATTATTATTTGTTACTGTGCCATATATAATACTTTAGACACTACACTAAAAACCTAACGCTTTTCAACATCTTTACTTTTCCATACATGGATTTTTCTTTAAAAATCTGGTAAACATAACAGACAGTATTTAAAAATTATAATCTAACTTCAATGAACCTCATTTTTTTTACTCTTTACCCATTTTATTTATACATCTTTATTATAATTATTTATTTCTTTAGGTTTGGTATTTTCTATAAACTTCAGTGAGACGAAACGAAAAGTACTTCCTTTCAAATTAAAAGTTTTCCAAATCAGATCATCACATCACATCAACAGCCTTTAATAGTCTACTGCTGGACATAAGCCTCAGATCATAAATGTGTCCATGTAGTGACGGATTAAGAATACGGAATGTCACTACCCCAATTCATCCCGTGGGTGTCGTAAGAGGCGACTAAGGGCGCAAAACTACGCAGGACACCAGCACTGCAAAAAGAAGGAAAACTTGATACAATCCCTATACCAACCCGTCTGGCCAGCGTGGTATAGTAGGCCAAAACCTCCTTTCTAAGGAGAGGCCTATGTCCAGCAGTAGACTATTAAAGGCTTTTGATGATGATGATGATGAAAGGTAACAAACATAAAAAATGAAACTGAATTATAAATCTCTTTCTCTTTTGAATTCGGTTAAGAAGATTTACATTTAAATTTCACTTCAATGAGCAATCATTCTGAAGAGAATGCCTTATAGGGAAATAGAGAAAATAAAGAGCACCGTTAAGTTATAACTTCTGGCCTAAACTTACATGGTACGCAGGCAGCTCCAATAATCTCTGCTGAGTTGACTATGGTTAGGATTATATCTCTGTGTTTCGATGGTAAAATCTCACCGATGAATGTGTAAGGGGCTGCAGACACACACGCCAAGCTGATGAAAAGAAGACATCTTGCTTTAGAAGTCATAAAGGTATACTCTTTAGTATTTCAGTAGTATAGCTATAGTATTAATTAAATAATAAACGGGTGTCCTGAGTGGGAATCCGACAACGTCCTCCGACTTAGCATTCAGGGTCACTGGCCACCAGACGGACAGGTCAGGTCAGCTCAGTCAATAAGCACGCTCGATGCTAGACTTAGCATTGAGATAGTACGATCCACACGAAAAACATTTTCTTTTAGATGTAACATAAATGTGGTTTTTTCTCGAAATAGTGTGGTTTTCTTTTAAAAGGCGATATTTCAAATGTTACACATTCACAAATTCACAAAAGGCTCTCAAACTTTGTCATAATTTTTTTTTTGATCAAATTTCATGTTAAAAATTTAAGTTGATACTTTTTTTTCCAAAAAAGTACAATAGTTACTCATACTATTTACTGCATTTCTAATAAGATTGTCTGTGAGGAATAAGATAACGCCAAAAACGCAACAAATTTAATTAATTTGCGGCCGTGGTGTACATGTAAGGACAACAAAAAAGTATTTAAAAAAAAAACTTCATAATTTGGGCACCAATTGTTTTTTTTTTGGGTATTTTTTTTGTACGCCAGATAGCTGTACTATTAAGCGCTCCAGTATTATCCATTCTTTCTGGGACACTCTGTATATGACTAATGTAATGGTCGCTTATCGTCGCTGCGCCTACAAAAATCGCTATGTGTTTTTATTTTGAATTTTAATGCCATTTTGATCCTTATTTCCATACCTACGCACTGCAAAAACAGTTAAGTGCTAACTTCAATATTGACGGAGTTACCAAAAGTAGCCATGTGATGTTCATATATTCAATGTTCTTTTAAAACCGCCTTGTGTCATAAATCACGTAACTAATTTTGGTTTATTGCAACGAGAATCTTTTACCCGCACATAGCTAAATTTAGTTCAAGATAAATAATTGCGCCCTTTATGTGTTTGTTGACACATAGCGAATTTTTTGTTTCAAGTCTCGACCTGTGCCATCATAAAATGAATATTTCTTTTTAGAGCGAGTAGATAAAACCTTTTAAATGTATGTTGGATATAAAAAAAGTGTGTCTTACCAAAGTGACGACAAAAATTTACACAATGCGAAGCTTATTAAATTTGGCATAAATCCAGATAATACATTGAATACTCCAGCTACAAGAGAACTATATATGACCATTTTCCTGCGGCCCCGTGTATCCACCAGATAACCCCATGGGTACGAAGTTATGAGGATACCTGAAAGTCAGATTATGATTATAATAATAATACATCACACTTCCCACACACGGCCGTCTGACCCAAAACTAGGCAGAGCCTGTGCTATGGTAACCAGACTGCTGATAAACATACTTATATAGATTTAAATACATACATATTATAGATAAATTACACCCAGACACAGAACAAATGACCGTGCTCATCACACAATACTTGTCCTGGGTGGGAATCGAACCCACGACATCCGGCTTAGCAGTCAGGATCACTAACCACTAGACCAACAGGCCCGTCGAATTAATAGGCTTGATTTCTATCTGTTAGAATTTCCAGCACAATGGTTACCATTGCGTTAAGGTTGAATTGGATTCCCAAATTGTACAGCTTTTTAATAAATATATAGGTTATTGTTTTGAGTTTTGGTATACTTTATGACAGATGATTGCACGTCCATATTACGCCTTAATTTAAATTGTGTTTACGGGGAAATACAAAAAATAATAATTTATGCATTGCGTATGCTACTCAATCAATAGCGCAGCGCTGGCATGGATTTTAGTCAAAGTAAGGACGTGCTGTTATATGCGAATCTGCTTAACTAAAAACCATAAGAACGATGGTTGCAAATCTTTATATTTATAATTCTTCTGTGAGTGTGTATGTCACTGAACTTCTCTCAAACGACTGGACCGATTTTGATGAAATTTTTTGTGTGTGTTCAAGGGGATCTGGGAATGGTTTAGATTCACAATTTTGTCCGCTGGACAATGTTTTTTTAATTAATTTTTAATTTATTAGTAGTTGTTGATTTTGGAATGTTTTACATTGGATCAGACAGACGGAGCTACCATCGCAGTGTCAAATTTGACAGGACAACGTCTGTCGGGTCCGCTAGTATAATATATGTTCAGATCCCGCCATAATTTTCATCTACCTTCTAGTGTGTCGTTTTTTTCGATTTTTGTATGTATTGTCATTCAATATTTCATTACATTTTTCAACCTCATTACGAAAACAGCATTTTTATTTTAATACCTGGGGTTACGTCTGTACAATATACCTTATATATATAAAATTCTCGTGTCACAATGTTAGTTACCGTACTCCTCCGAAACGGCTGGACCGATGATTATGAAATTTTGTGTGCACATCGGGTAGGTATGAGAATCGGCCAACATCTATTTTTTTTTTATATTTCTTAGAAATAATGTATATGACAAAACTACGTTTGCCGGGTCAGCTAGTATACCTTATATTAAAGTCATGACATATAAAATTTAACAATGCTGTTTTCCTACAATAGTAAATATTAACAAAGTTTACAGAACCGAAAGAGCATCAAAAGATAAAAAAGAAAAAATACATCACCATGACAACATATAGACTGAGATAGCAAGATTCATTAAAATGACAGAATAAATGAAAAACCAAATAATAATATAATAATATATTCTACCACATACACACAACGCCATCTAGTCCCAAACTAAGCAGAGCTTATACTATGGGTACTAGACAACTGATATAAATACATATATACTTTTTTTTTTGTAAATACATACATATTATACATAGAAACATCCAGACCAAATCAAACATCAAATGTTCATGCACACAAATGTTTGACCTGAGCGGGAATCGAATCCGCGACCTTTGGAATAGCAGTCCGTTACACAAACCACTACGCCATTCAGTCGTCAGTCGTGAAATAATTATACACCATATAACCCGACTTACAAGTTTATTCAGTAGCATATGAATTCAAGTAAATTTTCAAATTCATTAACCTGTTAAGATGGATACTAAATATAATTCTTAACATACCAGCATAAGGAATAGAAGCAACAAGTCCTCGTTGACTGTCAGACATGTTCAGGTCACATATCGCTGCAGGTAGCACCAGGGAGTAACCGATGAGTTCTACGATGGAGGCTATGAGGAGTAGCGCCAGGACTAAGCTGTACTTTAAATTGTAGATGCCTATACCTGAAACCGACAAATAAATATATTTGGACTGTTATTTTCAATAGTTCAATACTAATATTATAAAATTGGAGAGTGTATTTGTTTGGTTGCTAAATTGCGCTAATCTCAGCAACAGTAAAATTCTAATATTATTTTGACGGACCTGTTGGTTAGTGCCCCTGACTGCTAAGCCGGAGGTCGTGGGTTCGATTCCCACCCAGGAGAAATATTGTGTGATGAACATGATCATTTTTTCTGTGTCTGGGTGTAATTTATCTATAATATGTATGTATTTAAAAATATATAAGTATGTTTATCAGCAGTCTGGTTACCATAGTACAGGCTCTGCCTAGTTTGGGATCAGAAAGCCGTGTGTGAAATGTGTGAGGTATATTATTATTATTATTAGGAGATTTTTTTAATTCGAAAGAGTAGTTGCTTCTTGCGGAGAGCCCATTTATCTAGGAAGGCATCAATGTAAAATGTTGCAGAAACGGGGAGACATTTATTCCTTTTCAGAGACGTAGATAAAGTTGCGCTGGTCAGCTGGTAATTTATTACCAGTTAAGTTAGCCCGTGAGCACGGAGCGACCACCTAGTCAAAACTACGAGTAATTCAAATGTATGTAAAAATATAACCGTAAGAGTGCGTTTGGGTGTAATTAATCTATAATATAAATGTTATTTCTATACATGCTCATGTATAGAAGTACATAAGTATGTTTATGAGCAATCTTGTAAACACATTACAGGTTCTGCCAAACTGAGGATCAGAGGACAAGGGTGAGATGTGTAAAATTATTATTCAAATTACTTTATTGTGAAATTGGTCTTCGGTCATACTTTTTCAACCCTTATAAAATCATCTAAGTTGCCGCCTTTTAAGTACCTTCTCCCACACCGTAAATAGGGGGAGGCCTCGCTTACTCGGTGAAAAGTAAAGTAAGACTCATGGCGCTTCCACGGCAATAAATGCAAAATCGTTTCTCCTTTATAAATAAAACTGACTGAGCCGGGCGAACTTCGTGCCGCCGTATTATTTTTCGTGAATATTTTCGAAATTCCTGACAGACCTGTCAATGTTTTGTCCATATATTAAAGATCTTTCAGTCTTCTGTCTCACTCACGTATACCTTTTTCAAATTGTGAGTGATTCATATTGTGTGTGATTTAAAAAAAAAACTGTTCGATTTCTTTTAAACCAAACAAACAATAACGAACACAAAAAACTGTATTATTCAATTTGATGCAGTCGTTCGGAAGTCATGCGCGTACTTACATTTCTGCGATACATTTTTAATTATATAGATTAAAATTATCATAAATGACATGACTTAAAATATTACTACCAGCTAATAGTCTTGTTATCTGACACGTTCAAAAGAGACTTTGTATTTTGATGACATCCTTTTCAGTACAGATTAAGTGTACACCACACATCAACTAACACTGTCTTTATTTATTATTTTATCTCAAATTATCTAACCTATAAGATATATTCTTCTTAGGGATGATCTTCTCAAGACTGTATCTAATCTTGCACTACAAGATTTTATCTTGTCCTTGAGTGGACTCCTTGTGAGATACTTTCACGACTTAAATCTACTTTTGAACAGTAGTATCAATGCCACACTTCACCACTAACATGAGATAATTAAACTAACTTTTAAACTTTAGCGATGGGTATTAAGTACATACATTGGACATTCTGACGATTCGACCAGTTTGCATTGCCCATGTTCACAGAATGACGTCCTGTCAGCCCATGACCACGGCCAGTGCAACTTCGCGAGTTCCTTCATCATCATGATCATCATCTCATCACATCATCACATCAACAGCCTTTACTAGCCCACTGCTGGACATAAGCTTCTCCTTAGAAAGGAGGTTTTGACCTACTATACCACGCTGGCCAGACGGGTTGGTATAGGGTTTGTGTCAAGTTTTTCTTCTCTCTGCAGTGCTGGTGTTCTGCGTAGTTTTTTCCCTTAGTCGGCTCTTACGACACCCACGGGATCATCATCTAACACCCTTTAATAGTCCACTGCTATACATAGGCCTCTCATTAGAAAGGAGGTTTTGGCCTACTGTACCAAGCTGGCCAGACGGGTTGGTATAGGGTTTGTTTTCCTTCTCTTTGCAGTGCTGTTGTAGTTGGCTTAGTTACGTCTTACGACACCCATGGGATAAATAGGGGTGGTAACACCTTGTATTCTTAATCCGTCACCACACGAACGTATAATGGGTCACAAGGTGACGCAGTTTTTTTCTCAACATAACTATGATATAGGCAAGAGTCACATAATACAGACTTACCTGCTACTTCAAGAGCTTCGTCCAGGTCAGCTACGTACTGTTCTTTTTTCTCCTCATTCTCTGTATTTGTTTCTTTACTAACCATTTTCAAAGACCGCACTATTATATACTTGTAACAATTTGTGTAAATTTATTTTACAGCATCTGTAAGAAGCACATACGTATAAATCATGTTAAATTCAGTCAATTTTATTAACATGTTATATCGATTAAAAGTGGAGAGCCTGGGTGCCACCTCACCTCACTTCTGTTACAGTGGATTAATAGATTTCTGTGATCGTAGGTCAGTCGGTTATTTTATATTGTAAATTAAATACTTGACCAAGTTACTGTTCCTTTTATGTGTTCATACATATATTTATATATAAATGTGAAGTTGGTTTATGTACGCTCCAAAAACAAAAAAGTTCTGCACCGATTGATCTCAAAGTTTGACACGATACACTACCCGCTTCAAAGATGGTTATTGTTTACTTTTCGTGTCACTTTTATTCTTTATTTCTCATCCATTCGATCACAATGTTCCACTTCGAAGCGTGCTGTTTTTGTGTTTTTTTTTGTGAAGTAGGTATTTAAAAAAAAATTGAAATTTAGTTGAGTTTCTTTGCTGATGGGTTTACTGATCATCCTGAATTGTAGAAAAGGACTCAGAACGTAGAATAATCAGAAAAAAACTAATCCCAAGAAGTAGAAAAATATTAAAAATATATTTTAATAGTAATTAAATACTATATTTACTATTTGAGTTATTGCATTTTTAAGATCAAGAAAGATCACGTTAACTTTTTTATATGTATTTTTTTTAGGATCTAAAAAAATAATAACTCAAATAGTAAAGTACAGTACAATTATCATAAATATTATATTAATATTTTTCTAAATCAAATCTATCGCATTTGCTAAAAAACTACAAAAGTTAAAAAAAATATTCATTCTGTATCACTGAAATCTGAGCCTTTAATATATTTAACGAGCTTAGGTATTCCATTATAACGGATTTAAGGCATCGACATTGGACCCGCAAAAAATTAAAACAAGATTTTACCTGTTAAAAACAGATGTTATCCACGTGTTTGACACCCCATGAACTATGATTAGGACTGTTGATGTAACACTAGCTCATTCGCTGTCAATAACAATGTGTAACTTACTATATAATACAATACTTACAGATAAATATGATAAGACAATCTTATACGTCCTGAAGAATACAACTTTGGTAGGGGTGTGATTTTGACAGGCAGAATTTTTAAATTAAATCGTATACCACCTCAAATTTCACTTCATATCAGTTTAAAAAGTTTATTCTCTTTAAGGATTATGAAAACATACACTTAACACGAGAACATCATTATTACTAATACATAAAAATGTTTTACTTGAGAGCATACACAAAAGCGGTAGTAAAATAATAATGTTTTTAACTGCTACCTACACTAACTTCGAGGGTAGACGGACATTACACTACAAAGATATGAGATTTTAGTGCGCTTAACTAGAAACTTAATTAAAATTTTGGTTAATCAATTTCCTTATGATGATGCTAATAGTTTAGTGTCCGTGTTTAAGAATACGGAGTATCACCACCCCTATTCATCCAGTGTCGTAAGAGCCGACTAAAAGAGCATACTAAGCAGAACAACAGCACCGCAAAGAAAGGAAAACTTGAAACCAATCCTATACCAACCCATCTGGCCAGCGTGGTATAGTAAGCCAGAACCTCCTTTCTAAGAAGAAGCCTATGTCCAGCGGTGGACTATTAAAGGCTTTGAAGGTCGTATCGATTTAAAGATACTGCAGGCAACAATTTGGCGCACAAGTTTATTGTGAGAAGCAAATTTTTTCTTGAAAAGTTCAGAATGAGTCAGTGTAGGTATGTTATTCTTAAAAGGGAAAACTTACATCTGAAATTTATTTTGTTCATGTTTAGTCCAAAGAAAGCTGAGTAGCTGGAACAGTGCCTAGACCTTGGCATTCAAAGTGAGTCATATAGAAAACCAATCAGCTATCGACTTTACGACGATGCTTAGGGGTATATAGTTCCCTTTTCGTGAGCACACCGTTATATCAGTCTTACAGGCTCTTCAGTCAATAGATACCAGAGCTTTAAATTTATTGCTTTAAGCTTTAATTAAGCTGCCAGATTTTAGCCAAAAGTGACTGCATTACTCCATGCAGGATGTAATTTAGTATTTATAGAAATTGGTCCGTGTGGTGACGGATTAAGAATACAGAGTATCACCACCCCTATTCATCCCGTGGGTGTCGTAAGAGCCGACTAAGGGAGAAAACTAAGCAAGACAACAGAACTGCAGAGATAAGGAAAACTTGACGCAAACTCTATACCAACCGGTCTGGCCAGCGTGGTATAGTAGGCCAAAACCTCCTTTCTAAGGAGAAATTTATGTCCAGCAGTGGGCTGTTAAAGACTGTTGATGATGATGATGAGAGATAAAATTGCTTTAAAAGTTTATAGCTGAAGTACCGCCAGGTCTTGGAAAAGACATGCAATTTCTTGGAATCTGTCTATTAATTTAAGTTGTAAAATGGCATCACATCCAGAGTTCCAAGATTCCTTGAAACTTATATAGTTTGCATGTATATAACTGAAGATACCTACTTTTGTCTCACTTACACATATCAATGATTAATCTTATATATAAAATTCTCGTGTCACAATGTTCGTTCCCGTACTCCTCCGAAACGGCTTGACCGATTCTCATGAAATTTTGTGTGCACATCGGATAGGTCTGAGAATCAGCCAACATCTATTTTTCAAACCCCTAAATGGTAAGGGTAACCCATCCCTAATTTTTTTTTGTTTTGCAATACAACGTTTGCCGGGTCAGCTAGTATACCGGGCACGCCGTCATTGCGGCGGTAAGACCCGTTATGGAGGATTGGCTCGAGAGGCGTCACGGGACCCTCTCATACCGATTGACGCAGGTGATCACTGGGAAGGGATGTTTCGGAGATCACCTGTGTCTGATCCGCAAGGAGCCAACGCCTGAGTGCCACCACTGCGATGGCCAGACCGTGGACACGGCTCTCCACACGCTGGCAGAGTGCCCGGCGTGGGTTGAGCAGAGGCGAGACCTCGTGGCGGCCATCGGAGTGGGAGTTCTCTCGCTCGGTAGCCTGATTGCGGCTATCGTGCGGAGCGAGAGTGCGTGGAACTCTGCCGTCTCCTTCTGCGAGCAAGTTATGCTCGCGAAGGAGACGGCGGAGCGGGACCGGGAGAGGTTTAGAACTCTCCCGGCCCGCCAGGCCCGGGCACGGGCCAGGCAGCGCAGGCGACTCAGGCGCCGGAGGTCGCAGAACGACCTTCGTCCTCCATAAGCGCAGGTCTGGGGGTGACAGGTGAGGCCATCTGTCACCCTAGCAGAAGCAGGCCGGGGTGGCGGCGAGCGCGTTGCGAAGCGCGCTCGCTTCCAGGGAGCACAGGGAACATGGGGTTCCCACACGGGGCGGGGGTCGTCTACTCGTCTGTAGATGACCCGAGGTATGTCGGGGCACCAGGGCCTTCCTTTCTAGGGTATACCTGGTTCCCCGGCTATTAGTACCCGGCGAAGGCGTGCGGTTTTAGTCGGTTCGAGTCCGACATGCTACCGACAGGTGGTATCCGAGGGGATTTCCGCACGGAAAAAAAAAAAAAAAAAGGGTCAGCTAGTATAATATATGAAATTATGTAAATAAAAAGAATTGTACGTCATATTTATTTATTTACTAGTGTTATGATAACATTTTTATCTTGTATTTATATTCTTCTTATCTTGATCCGTCTTAGTCCCACTTGAATTTGGTAACAAAAATGCGAGAACACTGGATACTGAAAGAAAATATGTATAAATAGTTTAAAACAAGCTAATTATTAAAAAAAAAACCGGACAAGAGCGAGTCCGACTCGGCTGATACACATTTATTCTAAATAGTTCAGGAATCGAATCTCGCAGTTTTTTTTCCGTGCTTTACCCGAAATTCAGTTTCCTAAACCTATAATTACTTATATTCTTGAGTTTAATAAGAGAAATTGTAACTCGGTGATTGATTACGTACTTTAAATAAGGTCTTTTTTTTATGATTTATTTACAAATGTATAGTTTTCATATTTTTACAAACAGTGGCCATAAATAGCCTTTGTTGATGAAACAAATGAAAGAATTATAACAATTAATTGTGCTATACCAACCCGTCTGGCCAGCGTGGTATAGTAGGCCAAAACCTCCTTTCTAAGGAGAGGCCTATGTCCAGCAGTGGACTAGTATAGGCTGTTGATGATGATTGATGATGATTGATGAATTGTGCAAAAAGTAGTAAATCTGTAGTAGTTAATATTTAAATGGTAGGTAGGTGTGTCAACAATTAAACAGTGTTCAATATATGAGTACGTACATTTTTTTGACACTAGACGCGTCTTAGTGGCAAGACGTCCACAGATTATATACATATGTAGTTGAAATATCAATTGATGTTGATTAAATACTTACAAAAGAGAAGACCACCAAAGGAATAGAATATCATGTCACAAGCGTTGTTGATTAAAAGCCCGGTGAAGTTGGCGCCAACCACGGACCCAATACGACCCAGCATCATTGATAAACTAATCGCCATGCCTCTGTAATACACAATTATTGTATTCAACATTAATATCATATTGAAGGAATTACTACTGAAATGAAAGGATATGTCCCATAAAACAGTATGACGTATTTCAAAAGCTAGGGCAGGGTACCGAAGCCAAGATTTGGGGTATACATTTATTATACGCATAAATTAAAATAACTTCAAACAAAAGATTTTTGTTTTTTGTAAATAAAATACAATGAGTAAGAACCGTGTGGTGACGGATTCAGAATACAGAGTGTCACCACTCCTGTTCATCCCGTGGGTCTCGTAAGAGCCGACTAAGGGAAAAAATTACGCAGAATAACAGCACTGCAGAGAGAAGGACAAGTTGCACAAACCCTATACCAACCCGTCTGGCCAGCGTGGTATGGTAGGCCAAAACCTCCTTTCTAAGGAGAGGCTTATGTCCAGCAGTGGACTATTAAAGGCTGTTGATGTGAGTAAGAAACTCACATAACTCATACCCCAGAACCTTTTTAAATTATTACTGTCAATTATCTTGCCAAAACTATCATTAATTTTAATTAAAACTAGATCATTTCTAATAGTGAAGTAACTTCGTTCAACATACGTTGATTCTTGCTACTATTGGTGTTTATTTAGTAAAACTTTAATTATTTAGCTCAAGATAAAAAAATCATAAATTAATTTGTAAACATTACCTCAAATGTGTGGGGAAGATTGCCACAGTGTACGCATTGATTGGTCCAACTGCTAGGACTATGATCGGACTCGAAGACAGTATAACGGCGGATAGAACATCCTGTGTTATAAAGTTGACGGAGATGCATGCCATGCCTTAAACGAGAAATTAACAGTCAATATAGAGACCATTAAAATTATTTATTTTATGTACCATCTACGTCTTTATTATTTACTAGCTGAGGCCCGCGGTGTTACCAGCGTTTGTTGATATAACCGCGGGCAACGCCGCGGGGCGAACCTTTTTTTTTTTTTTTTTTTTTTTTCCGTGCGGAAATCCCCTCGGATACCACCTGTCGGTGGCATGTCGGACTCGAACCTACTAAAACCGCACGCCTTCGCCGGGTACTAATAGCCGGGGAACCAGGTATACCCTAGAAAGGAAGTCCCTGGTGCCCCGACATACCTCGGGTCATCTACAGACGAGTAGACGACCCCCCCCCGTGTGGGAACCCCATGTTCCCTGTGCTCCCTGGGAGCGAGCCCGCTTCGCAACGCGCTCGCCGCCACCCCGGCCTGCTTCTGCTAGGGTGACAGATGGCCTCACCTGTCACCCCCAGGCCTGCGCTTATGGAGGACGGAGGTCGTTCTGCGACCTCCGGCGCCTGAGTCGCCTGCGCTGCCTGGCCCGTGCCCGGGCCCGACCGCGGGGCGAACCTAGTCTAAAAAAAAAAGTAGCCGAAGTTACTCCTTATGTCAGCAGCTATCTGCCAGTGAAAGTCCCGTCGAAATCGGTCCACCCGTTCCAGAGATTACCCGGAACAAACAGACAGACAGACAGACAAAAATTGTAAAAAATGATATTTTGGCATATGTACCGTGTAAACATACATATGCATGTAGTAAAAAGCGGTTATTTTAATATTACAAACAGACACTCCAATTTTATTTATTTGTATAGATTTGACCCACGCAAATTCGTGTGCTTCTTTCAAAATTAATAAATTTACCCCGTTTATACAATATTTGACATTGATGTATGACTCCTCTTGGTCGTAGCTTGATAAAACATAATCTATAGCCTTCCTCAATAAATGGGCTATCCAACACTGAAAGATTTTATAATTCGTACCAGTAGTTCCTGAGACTTGGAAACAAACTCTTCAAATTTAGAATAGATTTATGTTAAAATGCTTCAATAACGGCGGTTCTCTTGATATGGAAATGATATGTCAAAAATGCCATTTTTATTTTACAACGGCTTCTTTTTTTAAAATATAAATGACGCAGCCTCATGCATATTTTCTTGAAACTGCGCGTACGCACTTAAGTGTAACATAGTTATACATAAAAATATTAATAAATAAGTGAATTTACTTAGAATTGCCTTATAGGAAACCCGTGTTGAGCAATTCTTTGGAGCTTTTCACCGAAGGATTACCAGCGGATAGTTCTAAGGAGGGGAATCATTTGAAGGGTGATTACGCTGTTTTGTTTTGAGATGCAGGTGACCATGGGCGGTGGTAGTCACTTACTATCAGGTGACCAGCCTGTCCGTACACCATTAAAACAAAATCTTTCTAAAAAAAGAGTGGACGTGAATTTGTTTGCCTTTTCTTCTCATAAGGCTCAGCCCCGTTGGATTTTCGATAGGTATGATTTTATTTCACTTATTTTGTTAAATCTATACAAATAAATAAAATTGGAGTGTCTGTTTGTAATATTAAAATAACCGCTTTTTACTAAATGCATATGTATGTTTACACGATACATATGCCAAAATATTTTTTTTTTCAATTTTTGTCTGTCTGTCTGTCTGTCTGTTTGTTCCGGGTAATGTCTAGAACGGGTGGACCGATTTCAAAGGGAATTTCACTGGCAGATAGCTGATGACATAAGGAGTAACTTAGGCTACTTTTTTTAGACTAGCTTCGCCCCGCGGCGTTGCCCGCGGTTATAACAACAAACGCGGGTAACACCGCGGGTCTCAGCTAGTATGTGATAAAACAGAGATGTTGCTATAGTGTGTGTTGATTCGTCCTTTAGTTTGACTTTTTTTGAGTATGACTTTAGAGTTTACATAAAAGATAATTTCAAACAATTTAAAAGAAAAGAAATAAAGACAAAATAATTCTTAAGAATATCATACTAAGCTACTCTTCTTTCTTCTGTTTTAACTAAATTGTGTTCTTAGTTTATGAACTTAAAATAATAATACCTATAACCAAAAAGCAGATGATGACCAGTTTCTTCTTCCCAATATATTTAACAGTGGAACTAATTAGAATGGCCACCACGGCACAGCCCAATCGCGCCGCGGTATTTATTAAAAATATAATCTTGTCTAGTGTGTCGTCACATTCTGCGTCGGCTGCTGATGTCTGTAAGAAATTATTTATTACTATCTTTTTCCCAAGAACTATCTCCATACTAAATTTAATCTAAATCGGTTCAGTGGTTATTGATTCCCCAGAAAAACTTCCCTCCCCTTTTCACCCCCTTTAAAGACGATTTTTGAGATAAAAACTATCATATGTCCTTTCTTGGGACTCGAACTACCTCTATTCTAAATTTTATTTAATACGGTTTAGTAGTTTAAGCGTGAAGAGGTATTAGACAGACGGACACACTCGCATTTAAAATATTTTATAAGTATGGATGGCAACTCAAATATATTGTAACTAACTGACCCTGCAAACCTTGTTTTGCCATATATGTATATTATTTCAATTGTTTTGTATGAAAAACAGATGTTGGCCGATTCTCAAACCTACCCGATATGCACACAAAATCGGTTGAACCGTTTTGGAGGAGTTCAACCACGCACACCGTTACACGAGAATTTTACATATTAGATTATATGCCAACAATTGGCCATCACTTCTTCCCCCTTCTCTTCTAACCATCGTAGCGAGAATATACTGCTCAAGAAATATTAGTTTTTTTATTTTTACTCCGATCATCGAAGACTACCAAACCACAGTCCACTCGGGTCACGCTTTGGTATAAAAAAAACATGTGTAAACAATGTACTGTTTCTAAAAAGCTGCTAAATCTATATTATACTGACTTATTACTTAGGAATATCTTTCATTGTGAGGTTTTTTATTTTAAATTAAATCTGTTGTTGCTACAAGTATTAATGTAATATTTCATCACCCAAAAGGTTTAACTGTTGAATCTTTTTATTTTCATTTTGACAATTCCCGTACTAGGAATAAATCCTTTGTCGCGGAGGACTTTACATATAAAACATACATATAACGGACACAAAGAACACCCAGACTCAGAACAACAAACACACAAAAGTGGATCACACAAAGTGATGTGCCATGTGGGGATCGAACCTACAACACTTAGCGCAGTAGGAAGCGACGAGGTAACCGCTTAAACCACTACGCCATCCGTGCAGCCTATATAAGCAATAATATCTTATGTTGCGTAGTTTTGTGAGATGAATACAGTTGTTTCACCCAAATTTAACAATCATATGTAAATACCTGATTATTTCCCTGTACAATGACTTCACAAGCTGTTCTGCCTTGACCATCACCAGCCAGAAACACTCTGTTGATTACATCTGGCACCCAGACGTTCAGACCATTTAGTCTGGAATTTATTTCACTGTAGTTAGATTTCCATTAAGGTCATAAAGCGGACTTATCCAAAAATAGGCAGAACCTGTAGTTTGATATTCAGACGGCTGATAAGCTGATTAATATAGCACAAAATACATACATATTGTTGAGATATTACACCAAGACAAAAAAAAAATATCGTGCTCATCACTTAATATTTTATCCTAGATGGGAATCGAAAACTGACCGAATGACTAAGCTGCTAGGTCTACACATCCGTTATTATAAAATATAATAGTGTAGTATTTTAACAAATACAATTTATTAACGATTGAAGTGATTGGTCGGTTTTTATCGTTGAATGGAAGGTTGATTGGAAATTCGCTACCGAACTCAATCCGCAGCCACGATAGTACTCGTAGTAGCATTGAGCCGGACGAAAGGACAAAAGACAAAAGGAGGACATTATAATGTACACTGGCCTGTTGGTCTGGTGGTTAGTGACCCTAACTGCTATCACACAATATTTGTTCTGGGTAGGAATCGAACCCACACCTCCGGCTTAGCACTCAGGGTCACTAACCATTAGACCAATAGGCCGCAATTTTGCTCGTATATGTATAGATGACATAGTCTTCATCAATCTAAATTTTATATTTAAAAGAAATGATAATAGAATTTATAGATTGCGTCCCAAAATAAAACGCCGGAGTGGTCCGCCATGTGCTTGGTTTATATATACATCGACTGGCATAGCTATATACATGTATGTGCATAGTATTTTTTAAACTTACATGACAAAAATTGTAAATAACATAGATCCGTTGAGAAGCATCCATTTCAAATATGGCCATTTCAGTAAGGGTACAGTTTGTACCTTTAATGATAAAAGAAAACTTCCTTCTTTTCTTTCATTAGGCGGAGCATCCAGCCATTTAATCTGTGATAAAAAAAAAATGATTTATTTATTTCTTGGTGTGAGTTTTGAATATAATGAGATATTTTAAAAAATATAGTGTCCCGCCTAAATCGAGTACAATATCCGAGCAAAAGTTGTACTGGTTAGGGTTCCTGAGACATAAACCTCCTCACCATATGTTCGGTGTTGAGAATAGAGTCTTATTCTAGCTAAAAAATTTAGTTATGGTGTCGAGTTGGGTATTTTTGAGGGGTTGTCTTTATGTAAACAATGACGTTCAAAAAGTGCTGGCACTCAGCCTAATTTGAATTAATGACTGTTGATTTTTGCCTCTTGACGCGAGTCTCTAAAGGCTTTAATTAAGATGAGAAATTAACCCAAGTGCTGAAACCACTATATAGTAGCCACAACGATTGCGATTTCCACAATTATTTTTTTGTCACCACATTCACACAACGCCATCTAGTCCCAAAGTAAACCGAGCTTGTACTATGGGTACAAGATATATACATATTTACTTTTTTTGTAAATAACGTTATATTATACATAGAAGCACCCAGACAAAATCAAACATTAAATGTTCATGCACACAAATGTTTAACTTAAGCGGGAATCGAAACCCGCGACCTTTGGAATAGCAGTCCGTTACACAGACCACTACGCCATCGCCGCCATCGCCGTCGTAAATATTTAGCTTTAATTTAATTATCTATGACCAAATTTGACCCCAAGGCGTTTCGTTGTATAAAAAATGTATATGTATACTAACAGGGTATTCATCAGGTCTTTTGCCCTTGTTTCCTGCATAAATATCTTGTAATACACTCAGTGCTTCTTTGTACTTGTCTTGGGTGACTAAATACTTTGGGCTTTCGGGTCCAAGAGCTAATAAAGCACCGAATATTAAGAAGAACGAGGCGTAGAACATGGTCAAGAGACGCCAAGGTCGGAAGATGTAGAAGCCAAATGATACTCTGAAATCCAGAGGTAAAATTGCCCATGCCAAAACTGAAAATAAAAGAACAAATATTTATGAGCATGTTCTATGTTGGACAGTAGATTGTCTTGTTCTAAAAACATCTCCAATCACAGAATGTAGATACATGTATATGACCAGCGGTTTTTAATTTTCTTATGGCTAATCGCTTGCCTGACGAAACCCTTCTTGGAATATTTTTTTATGTCTACTAATCCCTCCCACAAGCCCACTGCTGTAATTCCTGTACAACAAGATCTACAGCAGGGACCCATGAACACACCGATTAAAGATACTCGGACAGTCCCAGGAAAAGTTAAATTGTCTTGGAACCCGCAATGAAATAAATCAGAAGTAAATTCGAGGATTTAGGAATGTTATGGATTTTAGTTGGGACAAACGAGGGAGGTGAATTGGGGTAAAAGAATACGGATAGGCAAGAGGGCTAGGATAAGGGATATTGTAAGTCTCGGATGGGAAATGGGATTATAATTGTATGAGCTCTAAGAAGCCGGAATCGCGTTGCTGAATATCCAATTCTGTGATTGAAGAGGTAATTAAAAGAAAGAAATCAGGCCATCATTTATTTAAATTAAGTTTTTGACGTGACAACGTCTTGTAATTCGATGGAGCCGGCTGCACGCACGAAAAAACATAACTCATGCGGCGTTACCTCGCTCTGAGGCGTTCCATTTAAGGCGTGAAGTGCAAGCGAGAGCGCGGAACGAGTGACAAAGAGGCACAATCGGCCTCCGCGTTCGGCAGCGTTCGACATCTGTCTCTCTCCTACTTGAGTGAGCGATGCGTCCGCGTGGACAGCTGCTACTCGTATACAATAATACATCTTTGAAAAATGCAACCATTCCATCAGTATTTTCTTACGACGTTGTCACGTTCAACTATCGTCAGTAAACCGACTTTACAGACAACCGATTTTTTATACTCACGTGGCACCAAGGCTGATCCAGCCACCTGCGTAGCATTGATCACAGATAACGTTAAATCCCTGTATCTGGATGGTAAAATTTCTCCGATGTATGTGTAACTTGCTGCTGATGGACATGTTATGCTGGCAAAGAAGTTATTTAAAATTATTTTTCTTACTCAATTTAATAACAGGTTAATCAAAAAATACATTAAATATATTGTTTTACATGTTGTAATGGTGAACACAGTGCAGTCCGTGTGGTGGCGGATTAAGAATACAAATTGTCACCACCCCAATTCATCCCGTGGGTGTCGTAAGAGCCGACTAAGGGAGCAAACTAAGCAGGTCAACAGCACTGCAAAGAGAAGGAAAACTTGAAACAAACCCTATACCAACCCGTCTGGCCAGCGTGGTATAGTAGGCCAAAACTTCCTTTCTAAGGAGAGGCCTATGTCCAGCAGTGGACGAGTATAGGCTGTTGATGTGAATGGTGAACACGCTTTTGATCAAGTATTTCGCTTATAAGTGGAATAGCAACAATAAATTTTATTATATTTTTTATTATTGACATCTACTAGATGTGAATCTACCACCACCAACAGCCTATAACAGTCCACTGCTGGACATAGGCCTCTCCTTAGAAAGGAGGTTTTGGCCTACTATACCACACTGGCCAAACAGGTTGGTATAGGGTTTGTTTCAAGGTTTCCTTCTCTTAGCAGTGCTGTCGTCCTGCGTAGTTTGCTCCCTTAGTCGGCTCTTACGACACCCACGGGATGAATAGGGGTGGTGACCTTCCGTATTCTTAATCCGTCACCATGTGAATCTAACATGCATTTAAACTAAAGCTAGTTAATAAACGTAGTTGGTTTTAAAAAGGCATAGGACTTATTATGTGAAAGTTATATAAATTATACAGAAATATAAGAGTTTAAAAGCGCTTAATTGTAGCAATATTTAATAATTATAAGGGAAGTTTCTTTTACCCTGAAGTGCAATATCCCCCCATACAGGACCTTCATGGGGTATTGCACTTTGTCTATGCTTTTGCGATTATGGTAATCAAGAAATTATATTAATGATGTTTTAATAAACTTTTTACTTAAATGCGCCAAAATCTTGATAAATTGTTATATCATCATCGTTTAATTTAGAATATTAATTTTTTATAAAGAATGATAGAAATTGGTAACGTATCATAGATCCAAATATTCAGTCGAATTAAGAACTTTCACATTATTTAAAGTTTATTTTGATTAAAGAAATCGATAAAAATTTATCACTACGAATTCATACGAACTTACATTCACTCGGGTCTTTATTCCCAAAGGGTGAGGCGTAATGAACATTCACATTTGATCCCACCCAAGCCAGGCAAGTCAAGATGAGAAATTCTGTTTATATCAAAAAAGAAAGAAAGATAAGAACTAAGTTTAAATTTGGATATATTTCTTACCAAAGAGATGAAAGAAATTTACAAACTACAAAGCTTGGTAGATTAGGCATTAATCCAGATAATATACTCAAGATTCCAACTGCAATGGAACTGTATATGAGCATCTTTTTACGACCTCGTGTGTCCACCAGGAATCCCCATGGGAATGACGTTATCAACATCCCTGGAAAAAGAGCAAAATTTATGTTAAAAAAATTATTATATTAAAATTCAAACTTTGCTGGCATGAAGTACATACAAAAGATGTTAATAATTACAATATTAACTCACTAGGTTACTTATACAGTAGCAGATATGGCTTTATATATTATATTAGTAGCAAGCAAAGAATTAAACTGGCCCTAAAAATCATTTGTAAAGATATTTTTGGGGACAGTTAAGATTGTTCAGGAACGGGTGTTAAATCCCTTGAAAAAAAAGGGAAAAAGCCTCCAACCAGGCGAGGCGATCGATGTGATAAGATGTTTATGTTGGGAAGTTGTAAATATGCTAATCGGCGTGAGAACTTTTCATATCGCGATACAGGATACGCGGTTACTCCGTTGTTCGGTCTGTCTTCGGTAGATGGCACTGAACTATGTTTTTTTAATTTTACCCTACGTGGCAGTTACCACAAAAATATTATCAGAACTCGTCTATTAGATTAACCCTTTGACCTGATTTAGATACGTGTATAACGTCTGGATTTATAGATACAAGCCACATAATTATAAAAAGAAGGTCATAACTGCTTACCCAGATAAGGTATTGACATGACAAGTCCTCGTTGGCTGTCAGACATTTGTAAATCACATATCGCAGCTGGCAACACTAAAGACGCTCCGAGAATTTCCATTATAGTTGATATAAGTAGCATTGCACTAAGCAAACAGTACTTCAAGTTATACCATCCGAGTCCTAAAAAATTAAGAGCAACGGTTGTGAATAATATTGCTGTACGACGTCCATACCTTAGTCCCTTAAGACAAAGATTGTCGTATAATATAATCAGCGTGTCCCACCATCTTCTGTACCTATAATGACTTACGGTGCAGAAGCCTGAATGATAGTGAGAACTACACTTAATATGTCTCCACGGGACAAAATTTGAAACGTTACCTTTTTTATGAATTTTGTCCGACACTCTGCAGCTAGGTACAGTGCATAAAATGGTGGCGAAAAGCAGCAGTAATGGTGAAAGGCTGATGATAAAAATGAATCGTCAATAATCAGTAGCTTTACTGAGACAGCTTGACACTCTGCGATCAATACCTTGCCTTTTAATACACTCCTGATTATTCCATCTAATCCCTAATGAGCTAATGACGGAAATTGGGATAAAAGCGTGAGTTAATTTGATATGTGATACAATGACAGCTTCATTGATAAAACTGACAAATTTTCTCCGGTTATCAGGCATCTCTTCAGCTATAAAGTTATCTTTCTAGTTATCGTGATCTGGACCTTGAATCTAATTAGCTATTAATCTACTATCTAAGGAAATATATTCAAGATAAAAAACCATGTTGCTCGTAGGGGTTGGGGTTGGTTCCCTAATGTCTGAGACGGAGCCCGCACCAGGAGCGGGCTGGCGCTAGGAGGGGTCTGGATGTCTTAACAACAGCTGTTCCCGGATCCCTCCTGTTACAGGCGCAGAGTGGCACACCGTGTGGTTTTAGTCGGTCCGAGGGGATTTCCGCACGTTAAAAAAAAAAAAAAAAAAAAAATGGTTCCCTAATGTCGTACGAACCTGTACATACAAAATTACTTGTGCAGTATGTGTGTAAACAAAATATGTGATAGTAAAATTTGAAGAAGTTGGCTTTTAAAGTCAACCTCAGATCTCTGTACTTTCCGTTAGAAAACTTTTTATACTGGAGATGTTGAAAAGATACCACAAAGATATTATCCCTATCCTACCTACCACAACTAAACGTGTTGACCGTTGCCCTGCTAAGAGTGTTAGGACTGTCTTCGCACAACGTCACTTTGATGTTTTAGCGCCTAAAATTTATAATATATTTTTAAAATACCACAATAACTGCAAAAAGTACACCACATCTAAATTTAAAAAGGGAACTATTTACCTGGCTTAGACAATACAGCTTTGATGAGGTTGAAACGATGGTTTCCAAAAGACTTATTTGAAATATATACACACACACACACACACATACACACACACACACACACACACACACACACACACACACACACACTAGTGCAAGTTACACTACCTACACTTTACACACGACACAAATACACGCCCCATAATGTCTGCTTGTTTGTAAATAAGTAAACCAGTTTCTTGTCTATTTTTTTTTATTTTTTTTTTTCGGTTTTATTGTAAGTTAGCTTGCTCTGTTTTGTGAGTAAACCACTTTCTTTTGTATTTATTGATTTTGTTGACATAACTATATATAACATGTAACAAGGTGAAGTCACTGGGTCCTATAATACAGTTCTTACTAGTTTAGGAGCCAGCGTATTTATCCTATTTGTAACACTTTTATGTCAATAAATATTTCATTTCATTTCATTTCTGTTACCTCCGTATCCGTGTGTTCGATTTGAAGCAAGTCGAATAATGTATTTTTAAGGGGCGGGGGGGATTCTAAAAATGGGGGTTTGTCACAGTTGTTGCAGTTCAAGAATATACTATTGTTGCTAATAAATATGATGTAGTAAAAAAAAAAATAGCTTTTCAAATTGACTTACGAGATTCTCAATACGTGAAATATTAACTCACTGATCGTTGTTCGGATAGTCATATCTGATCATGGAATTATGGTCAAGAATCACGATCTACACCTCAAGAAGAAGAAGGGGCCAACGCAGAAGAGGATTGACTTAGGCAGTGCGTATTATGAGGAGGTCTTGCCTTTGGAGTCCTAATCATCAGTGTCTTGATCTTAGTACTCGATGTGACTAAAGATATTTTATGCCCATATTCAACAACGTATTTTTATTGTTTTAATTTTAAAACCGCGAATGTCTGATCCCAAACACAGCAGTCTACATACCTAAACTTACATATTACTAAATTCACACATGTTAAGAATTATTTACAGCACAGGATATCGAATATTTTCCTGGGAAGTAATTAAACTCAGAAACTAGACCAGGTCCGTCAAGAAATTGTTATGTTGGGAAACGGAGTTCAAACTTAGCCAAGATCCAAGTACTATGAACAGAATTGTGTTAATTTTTTATTATAATAATTTTACTATTTCAGTTACAATTATTATTATTTTTTATTCAAGTCAGATCATATAACCCGCCCCGCGTCGCTCCCGATGCGAAGGTGCCCATGATACTGGCAGCATTGCCTCGCTGAATTGCAACGGACATCCTTTGCACCAGAAACGAGCCGGAGCGGGCGTCACCACTTTTATCCCTAACTCGGCGACCAATCTCCGAAATTAACTTTGTAGCTTCCGACCCCCAAAAACTTAATATTTAGCCATAAATACATACCTGCTATCTCGAGCGCCTCATCTAGATTTGCTGTTTGCTTTGCATTAAAGTCCTTAAGAGCTGATTTCTTATTAATATCCTCCATTTTCTTTAAATTAGTCTAGAGTTCATCCAACTTATCTTGTTTTGCCTCCTTCTGCAGCGCCGGTTTGCGTAAAGTTGTACGTTTTTGCCACTTTGCAAGTTCTATGTCAAGATTTTCATAAGAATTAGAGTCGGTATTTTAGTCTTACCGGTTTCTTTTCGATTTTTTTCTTAAATGGCTATGTAACACTGTTGTTGTTTTCAGCCGCAGTGTAATTATATAAAAGACTTTAAAAATATTTTTAACTTTTATCTGATTAATTTAAACTTGAATAAATGTTTTATATCGTAAACTGTTTTGTGCTGTAAAGCGTCCGTACTAATCTAAATTGTTATGTGTTTTGACAAAACGTTGTATGCTGTTAAATTTGATGTTATCAGACTGTAGATATCTAAAGTCTATTGAATAAAGATGATAAAGACGTCATGTCGGTGCTTAAATTAACATGGATAAAAGGTTGTGTAAGTTGATTTAGAAAGCAGTCTTAATATTAAGGAGATAATTTACTGAACAAATCAAAGAAAGACCTTGATTTATTTACTGATCGAAATCATCATCATCATCATCAATAGCCTATGATAGTCCACTGCTGGACACAGACCTCTCTTCTGAAAGGAGGTTTTGGCCTACTATACCACGCTGGCCAGACGGGTTGGTGTAGGGTTTATTTCAAGTTTTCCTTCTCTTTGCAGCGTTGTTGTCTTGCGTAGTTTTCTCCCTTAGTAGGCTTTTATGACACCCACGGGATGAATAGGGGTGGCGACACTCCGTATTCTTAATCCGTCACCACACGGACACAGACACTTCAATTTTATTTATTTGTATAGATATGTAAATAATAATGAATATAATGAAGATAAATCCAAATCAGTGAAACATTAAACATTATATAGCAGAGACTATAAAAGAGTTTTTTTTTTTAATAATCTAATGTTAATTAGTTGTCATTGTCATAATACCCTTTGGAAATGTCGTAAAGCGAAAGCGATCAGGTTTAATAAAATAAATATCGTGGAATAGTTCAAGTGACTTAATTAAATAAGAAGTTAATTCCTTTCCCTCTGAAGCCTGCAGTAGACTTTGTTTAATAGATAAAAATAATCAATATTGGCTTCCTTCATCAATCATCATCATCAACAGCCTATAACAGTCCACTGCTGGTCATAGGCATCTCCTTAGAAAGGAGGTTTTGGCCTACTATACCATGCTGGCCGGGTTGGTATAGGGTTTGTGTCAAGTTTTCCTTCTCTTGTTGCAGTGCTGTTGTTCTGCGTAGTTTGCTCCCTTAGTCGGTTCTTACGACACCCACGGGATGTATAGGGGTGACATTCCGTATTCTTAATCCGTCACCACAATGAAATTGGCTTCCTTATTTATTCCTAATGTAAAATTCTTCAAAGTTATTGTACCCCATTATATATCTACATCAGATATATAGGACAGACTGCACGGATGGCGTAGTGGTTTAAGAGGTCGCCACGCCGCTTCCTACTGCGCCGAGTGTTGTGAGTTCAAAGCCCACATGGAACGACACTTTGTGTGATCCACAAATTGTTGAAAAAGAAAAAAAAAAGATTTTTATACAGCATAAAACTTATAGTTTTTTTTTTATCTCGAGGGATCGAAACATTATTTTTAGTAAAAGCTACTACTAATAGTAATTACGTTTTCTTTCGTAATTCCCGACAGTTAGCATTCAACCTGTATATAAAAGATCAATGTTTACAAAACCTTAATAAATTATCTCGAATTTATCTCAACATGCGCAATCTCATGAAATGTTAATATTTTATTTTAATCATCTTCAAGTTTTATATAATTAACAACAGTTCAGTTACTCTATTCGGAGACTAAAGTGAGACAGTGAACGAAGTGTGAGCCAGACTTAGGCATATATGGGCCAGACTATACATTCTTTCGTTACATTTCAGCGACACAACCACTCCCTAATTTTGCGGCAACAACTTGTGTCTTTTGAGGCGCATGTGTCAATAGGCAGCGGTATTCACTTACCATCAGAGAACCCGTCTGCTCATTTGCCGTAAGATGCAAATTTAAAATGTATTTGGTGTTTTGTTATGTGAAATATTCACCTTGTACTATGTGAATAGCGAGAAATACAACATTTTAAACCGATGTTTTTTATGAGAGAAGAATGTTTTCTGAATTATCAGATTAACCGTTATAAGTTACAGGTAATCCACCCCGATGTACTCGATCTGCTGTTTCATTCTTTGCTTCATCCATAGAAGCGGTTTCCCTTTCTTTTCATTGCTATCCGTTCTATCATTTTCAATATGCTCCTCTTTGCCCATATTTCTGAGGTGCTTGAGGCAATAGGCTTGCCAGCTATGAAGTGTCATATCAAATTTTAGCTGACAAAATGTGGGTTACTAATACGCCTATGTTTCCTTACGACTTCATACTTAGCATCAGGTGATCCATATGAAATAAAAACTGCACGACTGACTGCACGGATGGCGTAGTGGTTTAAGCAGTCGCCACGCCGCTTCCCACTGCGCCGAATGTTGTGGGTTCAAACCCCACATGGGACGACACTTTGTGTGATCCACAAATTGTTGTTCTGAGTCTGGGTGTTCATTGTGTCCGTTTCATGTATGTTTGTAAAGTCCCCCGCGACACAAGATGTATATTCCTAATGCGGGAGTCTTTTTTTAATATCAAAATACAATAGAATAAAAAAGGGAGCATGTTTATGATGATGAAAATTTGCAAAAAGATCCACTTTCGCCTTTATTATTGTCATGTCGTTTTTTTTTTAATGTCACGTAAACGTGATGTCTTAGAAACGTGATAATGAAATAAAACTACGTAAGTACTTAAATATTGTTTATGGCTTTCATGGTAATGTAAATACAAATGTTGTGTAGTGTATTATAAAAAACGCTTGTTTTAATATTAAACAAGGACATATGATAAATAGCTTACCTTAATACCTTGTCATTGTATTAATTAAGAACTTGTATTGTTCGTCTTAAATGTTTGAGTAACCCGTATGCAAAGTAGAATTTATATGTTACGAGTATCTGTAATAGATTAAGGTTTAAATTTGTTTAAACTATTTTTTTTTTTACCTTGTTCGTAATACCAACAGCACAAATAACGCAGGGTAAAACATTAGAGTAAAGTTAAGTTAAGTTACAACGAAGCTATTTACAGGTATTCGCAAATAGAAGCTATGCTTTGAATATGAATTCCATGTGGTGATGGTTTAAGAATATGGAGTGCAGTGGCGGATTTGCCAGCAGGCTGAGTAGGCTGGAGCCTATGGCGGCAAATTTGGCACAAAAATTTTTTTGTCTTACAGAAATGAAAAAAAAAAAACATTATTACACGGAGAAAAGAAGTCTTAACATTTTTACAAAAATAGCAATATTTTACCGAATACTTCAACATCTGTATTTGAAAACTTACTTTGTGAATATGGATTTTTAAAATATTCCAATAGTTGTTTAACATTACAATTTAAATTAGTAATTTTGATGAAGTTTTTTACTAATCATCACTCATGCGATGGGGCTGCATGAGGCCCTGGAATATGCGCGACCGCCACCAGGCTTGCCGGCGACGAATTAGTTAAAGCGTTGGAAAATAAAAAGACGTCAATGAGGCCTACTCCTATTTTCTTGATCTATTTCAATGTTTTTACGATCTTTGCTTTCCGTACGAAATAAAAACAAAATCGATTACTAAAAAAGCTAATTGGATCACTAACGAGATAAGAAAATGTAGTAAAAGGAAACGACACTTGTTATGGCAATATAGGATAAATCCAACCCTTACGAATAAACAATCATTTAGGACATACTCTGCAAGATTTAAAAAAGTTATAACGCTAACACAAACATCACGAAATAACTACTTCATTAAGACGTCCCAAAATAAATCTAAAGCGGCATGGACCATAATTAATAATTCTAAGACCTGCTTCCCTCAAGAACCGATAACACAAATTCAAACAGGGACACAGAAAATCACGAACCCGTTAAACATAGCTCGGGCGTTTAACGAGTTCTATATTAGGCAAGTTCCCAAACCAAAAAAAAGGTCCATACAAGAAATTAACGTACGCTCAAATACCTTAAACTCTTTATTTATGGAGCCGACCACACCTCAAGATGTAACTCATCATATTAACTCACTTCGAAATACAAATAGTGCTGGCTATGACGGTGTATGCACTAGGGTTATCAAGGAGGTATCTCAGTACATAGCTCCACATCTTAGTCACATAATTAATATGAGTATTTTTAACGGCATATTCCCCGAGAAATTAAAAATGTCAATAATTGTACCATTGCACAAAAAAAATGATAGACAGACCATGTCAAATTATAGGCCTATCGCTTTGATACCCATATTTTCAAAAATATTTGAGAGGGTCATCTATAAGTCCTTGTATAACTACCTAGAGAAATCAAACATTCTGGTAAAAGAACAAAAGGGATTTCGTAAACAGAAGTCAATCAATATGACTATACATGACCTTCTTCTTCCTATTATATCAAATATGGATAAGAGAAATCCTGTATGTGCTATCTATATGGATCTAACTAAGGCTTTTGATTATGTGGATTATCCTACACTAATGCATAAACTTGAAAGATATGGTGTCAGGGGAAATGTACTTGATCTCATTCGATCTTAATTAACGGGCAGAAAGCAATTTGTAGAAATTAAGCAAATATGCTCAAATACCAGTTTTGAAAAAAAATATTGTTCCGAAAGCGAGATAATTAAATACGGCGTTCCTCAGGGTAGCGTGCTGGGGCCCCTTCTTTTTTTGCTTTACATAAATGACCTTCCTGGGCAAATAAACCACCCCATGGTCCTGTTCGCCGATGATAGCACTGTAGTGATTAAGTGTGATGATCCTAATACTTATGAAAAAGAAATAAATACAACATTAAATAGAATTATATCATGGTTCGCAAATAATAATCTAATTATAAATTTAGAAAAAACTAAAATTATTCATTTTTATCAAAGGACACCAAATAAAATCGTTGACATTAGCTATTTAGGGACAAAAATAGAATCAAATACTACTACTAAATTTCTTGGTATTAATATAGACAATAATTTGACCTGGAAATCCCAGACAGACGAAGTATGTAAAAAACTAAATAAATTTGCCTATGTTCTTTATAAACTATCAAAAATACTAAGCCTAGAATCCGTACTAATGGCCTATCAAGGTTACGCTGCATCAACACTGAGATATGGCGTAATATACTGGGACAATTCAGTTGATAGAGAACTTGTATTCAAAGCCCAAAAAAGATGTATCAGAGCTATGTGTGGTCTAAAAAGCACCGACAGTTGTCTAAAAATTCTTACCTTGCCATCTCTGTACATATACGAAACAAATATGTTCGTGAAATCCAACATCTCATCATACAAACTAGCAACTAAAAGTTACTACAGAAAACTACGAGATAAAAATAAGTCGGAACTCCAAGTGACATATGGCAAAACTGCACTAATGAATAAAAGTACCTTCTGTATGGCCACCAAAATATTCAACAAATTACCTGAAAAAATTAAAACGCTAACTCTGGCCAATTTTAAAAGAGAAGTATTAAAAATCTTGATAAGTAAGTGCTATTACTCACTAAAGGACTATTTGGACGACAATTCTATAATTACTGCTTCAGAAAATTGTACAATACCTCGACTATCCTAATGATTTTGAATTGACATTAAATTAATTTGTTTGACATTTATTAAAATTGACTGTATTTTGTATTTATTTTGACATGCATGTGATTATTAATTATTATCATTGACGTTATTAATAATGTGGAAGTTTAAATAATCCTACAAATTTTATGATATTTGAAAAAGTGTATATTTGAAAATGTGTAAAAATGTGTATATTTGTACGCCCCTGGGCAAAACATAGAGGACTTGCCTATCCATAACATCTCACACTCTATTGTAATTTGACCTATGTTTACAAATAAATGATTCTGATTCTGATTCTGATTCCGAGTGAGTATAATCCTCCCGGGACCACTACGCGATAACATCTTCGCAGAAGGATGCGACAGCATTGAAACAATTGTCGCTACCGGCCATGATGCATATTATGAGGACCCGACGCTGCGAAGCCCAAGCTGGGCAAATTGCCCAGGCTGTACTCAATTCACTCCTAGTGACCTAGTGCAGGTACTTCCCGAAGCAGCCGTGTCCGGAAAGGACCAGTCGGAAAGAAAGGGTCCCATGCTGACACCCTACCTCCTCGATGATGACAGGTTGAAGCGCCTCCAATCCAAAATTGAGTTGTCCGCCGATATACTTCCGGCTTCAAAACCCACGGGGGTGTGGGGTGTGTGCACTGCCTCCGTAGACACGGTGCTGCAACCGCGTATGGCTGTTACCCTCAATTATACCGCCTGAGGGCGCCAGAAGTGTTGACCACGAGGGGGCCCATAAAATAAGAAGGCCTCCGTCCTATACAGGGCCACCCGTAAGTCCAGTGGTTTAAGCGGTCACCTCGCCGCTTTCTAATACGCTGAGTGTTGTGGGTTCGATCCCCACATGGGACATCGCTTTGTGTGATCCACAAATCGTTGTTCTGAGTCTGGGTGTTGTGTGACCGGGATATATTCCCAGTGTGGGAATTATCTATTTAAAAAAAATGCGTCCGGCCACCAGAGACCTTTGTGGAACACTGCACGTAACGGTCCGTCACCTCAGATATCCATCTTGGTCGTCATGCATAACGGTACGTTCCTCTCAATAGTCTGCCACTAGCCACCTCAGCCTCTGGCACCCCGTGACAGTGCAGTGCCTTCCTGATGTAGTTGAATTCTATTAAATCCGTTAGCGATGTCATATGACACCGCCAACAGCACGCCGCTACGGCTCACTGCCTTTTCGGGGATGATCCTGAGGCGCAAAACAGCGCAGATCGTCGAACGCCCCGCTCGAAAACCGAATTGGGCGTCTGACAGACAGGGACCTTGCAGCCTTCTCAAATTATTTACCCACCTCGTCCAGCAACAATGGACTCTTAGGCTGTGACTGTTTTGCAGGCTGTCCCGGCATGTATCGGTCTGATGTAGAAAATTGAATTTCAGACGTATCAAAAGCCGAAAAAAGACCATCAATTTTAATTTTCATTTATTGGTTAATCTTACATTTTTTACTTAGGTACATAATACAGACAGTTCTTTATTCACCCACAAAAACACGTTGGTTTTTAATTTACAAGTTCACAATTACGATCTCAGGTCGTAGTTTGTACTTAATAATAAATTCTCGGACCTTGTAATACCGATTTAAACGGCACAAACAAGCACACAAAACTTATCTTGATAAAAATAATGTATCTACATCTACACAGGCCCCTCTTTCCGACTGGGCACTCTGGCCACGTGCCCAGGGCCCCTCGATCGATAGGGGCCCGATTCCTGCCAGATCACCAATCGAAAATGAATATTTCTCACAGAAAAACATCATTACTCGTATTTCGAAAAATCCATTTGTAATGACTGACTACAATACTTTTTTGTCCATTCTAAGGAAATAGTGCTCAGCTAAGTTCGTAGGGGCCCCATTATGCTAATTTGCCCAGAGCCTCCAATAGATTAGAGACGGGCCTGCATCTACATTTTAGAAATGTACATTTCTTTAACTTCATCTTGACATATCTTGGAAGAACAATCCGAGGCTGGCAATAAAACTGAGAGTCCGCCGCATACTGAAAATAATAAACAAGTACCCACAGTTTAACTTCAGACATTTTTGTTACTTAAGAAGGTATTGTACATGTGTGACCTCTATACAACAAGATAAGGAACCCTGATATCGGATATTCGGATCTCCTGCTCCTTGGGGACTCAGGAGCAAGGAGTATGTGGTGATTCCACTAAAAACCACCCCGACAGCCGGCCTCAGGTGTACTACTAAAACTGCCACTCCTAGGGCTACAAAATGGAGGTTGGCAATTTATATTAAACTTTGTTATTCTTGGTAGTACCGTAAAGATTTGTAAATCCCCGGCTTTGCACGGGTGCAATTCACGACATATCATTTGTTTGGTATTAAGCAATTGGTTCGTTGTTTTGTACCGAGAAATTGACGTTATTGGAGCACAACCCTCATCTTTAAACATACTAGATGTGTCTTGAAGATAGAAACTGGAGATTATACTGCTTGCAAATACAGCTATTACAGTTTATTATAAGACGTGTAGGGTGCTGATTTTGACCGTTGAACTATTAGCTATTATGACATCTTATCAAATTAACTAAATGTACTTACGAATAAGTAATCCTCCAAATAAGTAAAACATTATCTCGCAGGAATGATTGATTAAGAGGCCCGCGATATTGTTGCCAGCTACCGAACCGATTGTGCCGAGCATCATGGCTAGAGTTAGCGCCATACCTCTGTAATGTTGCAATTCATTAAATGCCAAATTTTTTAACAGATAAAGGAGTTTGCAAAGTGTAAAATGAGCCATACAATCTCTTAAGCGTATATTCCCAAAGAACACTCACATCTTGCCGAATATAATTTGATCTCTTTCGTATATTATATGTCGTGGGAGAGCATTGCTCCGGCACGAATGGCCAGGCACGGTATCACAGAAAACCGGTGTTTTAATCAATTCTTTTAGTGCGTTTCATGTTATAAGAAAAGTAAAATAGAACCTATTGTTATCTACTGGGGTACTTTAAATTTGGGTTAAGAGAAAGAAAGGTAAAGAGGGAGACGATGCAGAGACAGATGGATTTGGAAGCTCAACGTTAGTTTAAGCAGAATCAGGTCAGAATCGCGTACCTGTACCTGAGGCAGTTTTTTTTAGGGTAGTCGAAACTCTTTAACCTAATGTGTGTGAGAGCGAGGGCGTGATATAAGGCAAGAACATTAACCTATTATTTAATAAAAAATAAAATGTTTCTAATTACCGTAGCTCATAATTAATTTGTGATCGCAGCGAAAACTTTTTTTTTGCGACAGAGGCAAAATCTTTTTTGGTAAAGCTAAATTTATTAAAGTTTCTAATTTGAATCGTATGGAAAATACAGTACGAATCCTTTGAGAATAAGCCTTTCTCCTTCAAGATTAGGAATTGGAGTCAATATACGTTTCTAGGGATAGTTGGTTTTAATGTATGGAACTCTACTCGACTGCACGGATTTCGTAGTGGTTTAAGCGGTTGCCACGCCGCTTATACTACGCTGAGTGTAGCGGGTTCGATCCCCACATGGGACGACACTTTGTGTGATCCACAAATTGTTGTTCTGAGTCGGGTGTCCATGGTGTCCGTTTCATGTAAGTTTGTAAAGTCCCCCGCAACAGAGGATATATTCCTAATGCAAGAGTTGTCTTTTTTAAAAAAGAGTAAAAGAACATCCGTGGGTCACCACCTCACCAGAACTGATGGTCGCATATCAGACTCTAACTGACTGAAACCACACGTGTTCCTTCACCACATTTTATAATCGGAGATCCAGGTGTAACCTAGAAAGGAAAGCCGGTTAAACAATGGCATACTTAGCCAGCATGTTCATCATCGTGTCGACTCCACGATAGGTAATGAAGACCTAAATAAAGTAAGTTATCTCTCCAATGTCCGTGTGGTGACGGATTAAGAATACAGAGTGTCACTACCCCCTATTCATCCCGTGAGTGTCGTAAGAGCCGACTAAGGGAGAAAACTACGTAGAACAACAGCACTGCAGAGAGAAGGAAAACTTGACACAAGCCCTATACCAACCCTTCTGGGCAGCGTGGTATAGTAGGCCAAAACCTCCTTTCTAAGGAGAGGCCTTTGTCCAGCAGTGGACTATTAAAGGCTGTTGATGATGATGATGATGATCTCCAATGACAAATCAGAGGACTCAGTGGAAGTTTATTTCACATCGACTTCCTCTCGACGGCGAGCGTTTTAAGCGTTGCGATTGGTTGAGATTTCAGTGCGGGCCAATCGTAGCACCGAACGCGGTCACCGTGACGATAGAGTAGAAGTGAAATAAACTCGCACTTGGCCTTCAGAGTAAATAATTACTCACCTCAAATGTGTAGGTATAAGTTCAACGATATACCCTTTAACGGACCCAATTGTCAGAACCAGGACAGGCAAAGATGACAAGATGGTAGCAAATACCATATCGTTTCTTATAAAGTTGATAAGAACACAAAATGCTCCTGGAATATAAATAGTGATTTAATAAAAACTAAAACTTTCAGTTATTAGCGAAATAAATTGCAAAGTAAAAAATAGCTTCCTAATCCACCTCTTGACTTCAACACAACTTTAACTGACTGCACGGATGGCGTAGTGGTTTAAGCGGTCGCCACGCCGCTTACTACTACGCTGAGTATTGTGGGTCCGATCCCCACATGGGACGATACTTTGTGTGATCCACAAATTGTTGTTTTGAGTCTAGGTGTCCTTTCTGTGCGTTTCATGTATGTTTGTAAAAGTCCCCCGCGACACAGGATTTATTCCTAGTGCGGGAGTTGACTTTTTTTTAAAAACAAAAAAACTTCATCTATCAAATGACCCCAAACTGGTCAGGTTTACTTGGAGATATAAGTTTTACTATCCAACTTCAGGCTCCAAGATATCAAAATGACATTATAGTATTGTGATTCAAACTGCATAAACATATAAAGTACTTTAAGGGTTAAATGAACTTGCAAGATTTGTTCACGTGGTTAGTTGGAAGTTAAACTAATAACAGCATATGAAAAGAGACCAACACAATCTACACGTCCAATGACTCCCAAAAATCTTCAACAGGAGATACCACTCTACATCTGGAACTCAAAAGATTTTTATGAGCCAGAAACCCATTAACAAAAGTAATGCTGCTTGACGTAAGAAGCTTGGAACTTGGGCAAAGCACTGTAGATGTTGATGCTAATGGTAATTTTAAGAGTCTGATGGTCCAAGTCCAAAAAGCCGAATCATTTTTGTCACAGTCTATATTTGTGTATGAAAAAATGTACGTACCTATAAGAAAGTAACATATGAAGAGCAAATTTCTTTTTCCAATAAGCTTGACAGTAGAACTGACTATTATGACAATCACTGCGAAAATCGCCTGCGCGATTGAGCTGACGATCAATGGTACTTCGTCTAAGTTATCTTTGCATATTGTTTCTCCTTTCAATGTCTGTAAAACAAGTTATTCAAACCTTAAAGGGTCTTGTCGTTCTTTTGTTAAAGTTATCAAATAAAAATGTCAAAAATTTAGAGTTATTTTTTTGTTAAGGCCCGATAGATGGCGTTGTGCAGTTTAATGAATCACGTAATTAAAGAATCAAGGGTGTAATTAAGGAATCAATGTTATTAATATCGACTATTTGTGCAGGCTTTTCTTTTTGAATCACAGTCCTAAGGCGGTATTTGGAATTACCATCGAAAAAACGTAGTCAACGTAGATTATTCTGTACCATTTGATATTAAAATTAGTTTTAAAATTTTTCATTTGCTGTAAAAAGTTTTACTCATGACGCACACACTAAAAGAAGAAAATATTTCCTGAATAAACCGTTATCTATATGTGCGTAGGCGCAGAGCAAAATATTTATAAGAAGATCCAAACCTATTAAAGATGCTTTGAATTCTGGCGTGAATTCTATTTGGCTTAGCCAAAGAGAACATGTAAAGAGGCGTGGCAGCTAATATTTTCCTGTCTAGCAGAACACGAAACAGAGCTAATCTGGATTACGTATCAAGTTACAGAAGCATTCTCATGGAATAGACCCATGGTTTTGCGACGTGATTCACTTCTCCAATTATAATATGGGAATACCTGTTTCTCAAAAGTCGACCATATATATCGACCGTTACACCCATGGCTCCTGTAAGACACTGCGATGAAATATTAAATGATTTTAATTGTTTCCAAGTTTGACTGGCCTGTTGGTCTAGTGGTTAGTGACCCTGACTGCTACTCCAGAGGTCGTGGGTTCGATTCCCACCGATGACTAATTATTGTGTGATGAGCACGATCATTTATTCTGTGTCGGCCATGTGTAAGTGGTAAGTTAAAAAAATATATATATATATCTTACCGATGGCCTCGGTGAAGTGACGATCCGTGTGATCTTCACTAATATTTTATAGAAATATAGAAAAAAAAGAAATGTACCTGATTTACTCTGTTAGTGATAACTTCACAAGCAGTTCGGCTTTTACCACCACCAGTCATTACTCTGTTTAAAACATCCGGAGACCAAATGTAGAGACCATTTAATCTGGAAATTTAAACTTTTTGAGTTAAAAAAAATACAAATCACAGAAAAGGCATGCAATTTTGAATTAAGATAATATTGTTAAAATAGCAATAACTTTGTTTGTAAACGCTATCATCATCATCATCAACAGCCTTTAACGGCCCATTGCTGGACATAGGCCTCTCCTTAGAAAGGAGGTTTTGGCCTACTATACCACGCTGGCCAGACGGGTTGGTGTAGGGTTTTTGACAAGTTTTCTGTCCATGCCCGTCAAGATGGCGTTACAGGCACAAGGTTGCATATACTATGATCAGTATTAAATATTTGCATGTATAAATAAAAACACTTTTTTTTTTTAAAGACACCTCCGGCAATAGGAATACATATCCTATGTCGCGAGGGATTTTACAAGCATACACGAAACGGACACAAATAACACCTAGACTCATCACAACAATTTGTGGATCACACAAGTGGTGTCCAGTTTGATTGTGCAGTGCAGTTTGATACGTGCATTCTAACACTATGTATATTACCAATGATCACGTGCATTACTAGAGTTGACCCTGAAATGTCAAATGTTATATATTGTCATCATAATATTACTACTTAATGGCTCGTGCATTCTTTGTAAAATAATTAATACTATCCGAGAACTTAACAATACTTACACGGAATAGGTGCCGAATAATAGAAATCCATTAAGAATTATCCATTTTGAATATGACCACTTCGTAAAAGGTGTAGTTTGTTCTTTTAACGAGGTTAAAAAGTTCCCTTTTGTTCTGTTGTCAGCTGGAACTATTAGTTTATTTATCTGTGAAGGGATAAATGTAAGTTAGAAAATCTAAAAGGCCAAGTAATGTACATATGTTCCTTTCGATAGTTCTAGTTGTTCATAGAATTATTGTCCGTATGCACCGTGTGGTGACGGATTAAGAATACAGAGTGTCACCACCCCTATTTATCCTGCGGGTGTCGTAAAAGGCGACTAAAGGAGCAAACTACGCAGGAGAACAGCACTACAGAGAGAAGGAAAACTTGATACAAACCCTATACCAACCCGTCTGGCCAGCGTGGTGTAGTAGGCCAAAACCTCCTGTCTAAGGAGAGGCCTATGTCCAGCAGTGGACTGGTACAGGCTGTTGATGATAATGATGATTTGTTCATAAAGGTGCAGAAGTAGAAAGAAAGTAGAAAATTATGAAAAGTAAATTGAAAATGTATCCAAATCAAAGCTGTAACAAATTGGTAATAGAAGTTTAAATTAGAAATTGATAAGCTACGAGTATATCAAAATATGGGAACATGTATAAGAATTTTACTTTACTTTTTTAATGATAAAAACAAGGAGAAGTTTTCGAAATGATACATAATTGTTCATCATTTATTTATAATTATTTAAGTATTTAATAATCTTTATGTAACAAATTTGTCTTATTTCGGAAGTTCTTTGAAACAAATAGTAAAAGCTGCTTCATAGAAAACTTCTCCAAAAAGATACACAGATGTGGAAATTGTCAAGGTGATCGGCTAACCGCAGATGGGGTTCATTTCACACGCATGACTAAAGAACAATAATATTCAGGTAATAAGAATTAAGCGATGCATTCGAAAATTATAATTATATGTAGGTTTACGTTGAGGACCTATGCTGCATTTACAGGCAGAGTTTTTAGTTTCCTGTATTGATTTATACCAAAATTTTACAGTTTCTAAATTCGTTTCATTTCTTTACTTAAAAATCATTCCATGTCATGTAATTTTATTTCATGCATTTCAGGTAATACTGTACAGGGTCGTCTGTTGTTGCCACTATTGGAGATCTTGCGATTTTGTGTAAACATTTTAGGTTTACCTCTTTATTTATTTTTTACTAGTTCAAAATAAATCTGTGCAATCGCAAGGTGTTAAAGGTGTTTTACCAGCCTACTTAAGAGTGGGGCAGAAATGAGTGTTTATGTTAAATATTCACACCTTACTTCCCTCCAACTCAATCAATTTAAGTGAGTAACAGCTTTAATAAAAGAGCTTGTTTCAGCAAATTATTTTAAATCAAAACAAATCACTTAGCTCTATAGAAACTGGAGATAGAGAAAAAGAAGTTCTGAAAACATAAGAAAAGTACGGGAGAAAATCTCAAAGAAGGAAGAGTGAAACTATCTCAGATTAAGGGTAAAAGTTAGGTAACTGTTAAAGCCTTATGGCTAATCTGTGCATTAATTTCAGCCATTAGCCATAAGGAAATCCTGAATCGCTAAATATATTTTCATATTAAAAAAACACATTGAGTAGAAATTTTACATTTCCAGAATTTAGTTACAAATTACTTCCTGTTTTAAACTAAATATTTTGAGAACACAGAAGTACAACCGTTTGTTTCGAATTCAGATTGATTCTAAGTTTCCTTATCAGATTCTGAAGGAACCCTTAAAATAACTTATACTTACAGGATATTCCTCAGGTTTTCTTCCTTTATTGCCAGCGTAAATATTCTGCAACACTTTGAGTGCTTCGTCATACCTGTCTTGTGTGACCAAATACTTCGGGCTCTCAGGACCGAAGGTCAGCAAGATGGCCGCTATTAGGGAGGACGAGGCGTATATCAATGACAGGAGACGCCATGGCCGAAAGTAAAAGGCACCGAGGTCGATGGAGAATTTCATTGGTAATATAGCCCATGCTAAAACTGCAAGGAAACAGTAATCCTTAGTTTAAAAAAATCTGTTTGCAAACATGCCCCAACAACGAAATAATTTGTTCCCGTTTTACGTATTCACGTATTGTGGGACAATTCTACTAATTTTAGAATTGATTTGAATAGGAAATGAAAATTTGATTGAATAATGGATGAAAAATATTTATGGTATTTACGGACCGATACGACATGTACACTTGAAAAAAAAATCCGTTAGGTATTTTTCGAGTTTGTTGCGTTTGGAAGACTGCCTGAAAGAGTCCTTCCTTTTTATAATTTATAGTGATTATACCAAGCTTGCTCTTTTTACATCTGGTAGTAGTATCTTTTGAAATACTTAATTTACTTGACTGCAAAAAGAAGGAAAACTTGATACAAACCTTATACCAACCCGTCTGGCCAGCGTGGTATAGTAGGCCAAAACCTCCATTGTAAGGTGAGGCCTACGTCTAGCAGTGGACTATTAAGGGCTGTTGATGATGATGATGATGATGATGAATTTACTTGATAATTGACTATATTATTGACGTAAGGGCCTAAAATTGTTAAAAAATAATACTTACGAGGCACGAGCACTGTTCCGGTTAACTGTAGAGAGTTCATTAATGATATCATTATATCTTTGTACTGGGGCGGTAATATCTCGCTGATATATGTGTATGGAACTGCTATGGGGCACGCCAAACTGTCGACAGTAAAAATATTATACAATTGAAGAGTTTGTTTAGTTGAACGCGATCATCTCAAAATGTACTGGTTCATTTTTTTTTTTAATGTTAGATAGTATTTGAGCTTCGAGTATTGCAGATTAAAGTGGACTTTATTTTAAAATAATTTATTATTAAACTGTACATGTAGTATTAAATAGATTATCGCAACAGTCTCGTAATAATGCTAGTGTCTTGTGCGCCGCTTGGTCGTCAAGTAGAGGGGCTCGTGACACCCTCAATTGCCGCAATCGTCTCTCTGCTCCGTCGCTGGTTGCCCACATGCCTCACGCGTTACCAGATAGCCATTTTATCGAGTTACGCTATTTGTTATGTAACACTAACTATTTGTTATGTAGCATTAAGAAAAAAATGCATAAACGGAAAATTTATTTCTTTTGGGAGTCGTAGTCTAAGTTGCGCTGGTCAGCTATTAATACATATAGGAAAACAAAGATGCTTTCTGCCTAAAGAGAGGCCTATGTCCAGCAGTAGATTTATTAAAGACTACCAAAAGACTACAATTTTTCTTTTGTTTTTGTTGGTATTGAACTTAAATATGCACTCTTTAATTATATGTGAATTAAGGAAATCTTACCAAAGAGATGAAATAAATTTCGAAACTGCAAAGCTCTTAAGTCCCGGCATCAACCCACACAGGGCACTGAAAATTCCAGCTGTAAAACAGCTGTACAGGACCATCTTCTTGCGGCCTTTGGTATCAACCAGGTAGCCCCAAGGATACGAAGTTAACATAATACCTGTGAAACAAACTTTTCTTAACTTCTGTATAAACTAGAAGGACTGCAAGATGTACAGAATATTTTGTAGAAACTGGTTGAAACCTAGGTATACAGTACAGGCATACAGTAATAAAATCGTTTGTGTGGAGACGGATTGAGAATACGGAGTATTACCACCTCTATTCATCCCGTGAGAGTCATAAAAGCCTACTAAGGAGCAAACTCTGCAGAACAACAACACTGCAAAGAGAAAGAAAACTTAAAACAAACCCTATACCAACCCGTCTAGCCAGCGTGGTATAGTAGAACCAAACCTCCTTTCTAAGGAGAGGACTATGTCCAGCAGTGGACTATTAAAGGCCGTTGATAATGATGATAGTCATAAAATTAATATCTTAGATTTATATTAATATATTGAAAAATAAGCATACTTGATGTCAAATAGGCCGGCTCGACCGGAGTGATACCAACCATGGATTCACAGACAACCAGCTGTTAAGCGAGTGATGAGGTAATTTAAAGAGGGGGTGATCGAAGGGCTCTCTTGAGTTGCAGGTATCCATGCAGCGGTAGTCACTTACTAGCAGGAGACTCGTGTGCTCGTTTGCCCCCCATATACGCATGGATTAGGAAACGTCGTTCGAGCAGGTCAAGGTCGCATACGTTTTCCTCAAACTAGCCATTCTCGACTGGAGTGATACCACAGTCTCACAAAAAACAGGTGTTAAGCAGTTTCGTTACTTTTCACTGAGCCAGTGAGGTTGCCGGAGTACCACGGCTTCCTCTTACAATGTGATGGTGAGATCGATCAAACTGTACAGCATCGAATCAATACGGGATGGATGAAGTGGAGGCAGGTAACGGGACCAATCTGTGACCCTAGTTTCCCCTTAACACTAAAAGGACAAATTTATAAAATTATCATCAGACTGAAAGTTGTCTGAAAGTTGTCCCATTAAGAAAACGGATGAGAGACGCCTGAACGTAGCCGAAATGCGAATGCTGATATGGTTGTTTGGTGTGACTCGGGTGGACAAGGTTAGAAATGAGTATATACGAGGGAGTCTGAAAGTAGCGCCACTGGATGAAAAGTTAAGAACTAATAGTTATCTTGGTATGGAGATGTCATGCGGAGGGATGAGGAAAATGTGGCAAAAAAAGTGCTAGGTATGAGAGTTGAAGGTTACAAGAGAAGAAGAAGGCCAAAGAAAAGGTGTATAGACTGTGTGAGTGAGGATATGGCTAGGAAGGGAGTAAACAGTGAGATGACGAATGATAGAGTAGAATGGAAGAATCATACTTAATGGGCTGCCCCCTAATAAAATTAAAGATAAGGGTAGACAGATGATGATGAATGAATGAGGTTATCGGAGCCCAAACCTCTGCTAGGTTTTCTTCAATTCTGGGAGGGGGGATTTAAATCGCAACAACGCTCTTGTAACTCTTCAGTTGCAGGTCTCTATGGGCGGTGGTAGTCACTTACTATCAGATGACCAGTCTGTTCGTTTGCTCTTCCTGAAAAGTTCAAGCTTCGTACCCAGTTTCTCGTTATCTGTTTAAAAAACACCACATACCAACGTACGGCATTGAAGCCACAATTCCTCTCATTTTGTCAGACATATGCAAGTCACAGGCAGCAGCTGGCAACACTATAGAGTATCCGATTTGATCCAAGACGAAGGCAATAGGCAGCAGCGATAGCACTAAGCTGTACTTCAGATTGTACCAACCTATACCTGAAAATAGTAATGATTTTAATAACTTAGGACACCCTACATGTGGTTAAAAATATACGTAAATGTTTCCAAATATCGTATTATTAGTCTTGGGTGGTATCAAGATCAACGCTCTATGTTTTAGAAGTCAGCATCATAATCACTAGATGAATCAGCCTGTTCAAGAAATAATAACTGTAGTTTTACCTTTATTTTTGTTCTTTTTAAAAGACAACTCCCGCACTTTGAATATGTCCTGTCGCAGCGGCAACATTCATGAAACGGACACAAAGTTTGACTGCACGGATGGCGTAGTGGTTTAAGTGGTCGCCACGCCGCTTCCTACTTCGCCGAGTGTTGTGTGTTCAAACCCCACATGGGACGATACTTTGTGTTATCCACAAAATGTTGTACTGAGTCTGGGTGTTCTTTGTGTCCGTTTCATGTATGTTTGTAAAGTCCCTCGCGACACAGGAATATATATTCCTAATGCGGGCGTTGTCTTTTTTAACAAAAGAAGAAAGAAAAGAACTCCCAGATTCAGAACAACAAGTTGTGGATCTCGCAAAGTGTTGTTTCATGTGGGCACCGAATACACAACACTAAGTGTAGTAGAAAGCGGCGAACGCTTAAACAACGACGCCATGCGAATTATTAAATAAAAATTGGGAGTTATATCCCTATCAGCTTAGCCAATTGCAGCAGCACGGACTACGCTACTAATAACCCCAAATAAAGGTAGAAAACGGGTCAAAAGAAAGTAATGATAATAACTTTCCATGAGATCCATGCTTTAGCACAAATGGGCTGGTTCGATCGGAATGATACCAAGACAACACAGAAACCGGTGTTAAGGAGACATGGAAATTATTGCTACTTTTAAATCATATTTGTTTGATGAAATGATTGGTTTTAGCCACAGCTATTTCTCATGTGATTGTGATTTCGTCATGGCAAATGGCATTAATTTTTTTTTTTTTTTTGGGTTTAGACTAATAATTAAGTAACAGAGGTTATGTAAATCAGTTACAGATGTGATGATATGATTTATGAATTAAATGAGTTATCACATGTTCTTGTGATTTTAATTTATCCCTAGTGTTACATAATTTTTTAGTTGCATTTCGCCGAGTGAGTGAGCGTACCCCAACCAGGAAATTAATTATTTTCCAATAATGTTTATAGTGTGTGTTGATAGTGGTGTATTTCTAATAAATTACCTATTTTTTTTTTAATCTTAACTCAATGACATTTTTGACTTCCTATTGTATTGTATATGTACTATTCAACAAATGAATCTTTTAAATGAAAATTTTCGTCTGACATCAGACATCATTTCCGAAATCTGGTCCTCAAGTTGGTTGGAGCAGCTCGTGCATTGGCGCGGCTGCTGCCCAACATGAGGGGACCTAATGACTCCTGCAGGAGACTCTACTACCATGGACCGCACAAACCCCAGGTTGTGCGGTCTATGGCCCTTTATGGGGCCCCAGTATGGGCGTGGGCCCTGAGGTCCAGTAACGTCGCAATACTGCGACGACCGCGTCGTAATAGTGCTGGCCATCAGGATCATAAGGGGGTACCGCACGATCTCCTTTGAGGCGGCGAGTCTCCTGGAACTTCACTGTGGGACCTGGCGCAAGAAGCGCGGAAGTTGGGTCGGCGTTCTGAGACTTGAGAAATCGAGGACCAGAAGTCATAACTCCACCGGATCCTCGTAGAGGAGTGGAAGGAACGACTTGGCCAACCGAGCGCCGGGCACGCCGTTATTGCAGCGGTAAGACCTATTATAGAGGATTGGCTCGAGAGGCGTCACAAAAGCCATTTTAGTGTCATGTGGTATACGTTAGAAGGTGGAACCAGAGTTGATGTAGTGGTTACTGATATTGAACCTGAGGTTGTTTGATTCTCAGTACAGATTCCCAGGACAAATCATTGTGTAGTGAGCACGATTATTTGTTCGGCGTCTAACTTACCAATGACATGTATGTTCTTAGAAATAGCGCGACGGCAGACTGGTCTATGTTAGGCCTTGCAATAGCTATATAAATGTATTTCTGACTCTTTGTGCTGTGCTGGCGTTTGAAAGCGCACTTTAAGACGTACTTATTAAAGAAATATTTGATTTTGTATATAAATTTATTTATCAGCAGTCTGCTTACCATAGTACAGACTCTGCTTAATTGTTATCAGACGGCGGAGATATGTATACGGAGATGTGTATAAATAAGTATTCTTCATGGATATTTTCTACTTTATTTTTTAACATAGGAAAATAACCTTTAAGTCAGCGAAGACGCAGTCAAACGCTTTTACCGCCAAATATTTAATTTATTATGTTTATAACATCACTTCATTCATATTGTTTAAGAGTATTTGAAGTGTAAGACAATTATTTGTCAAATATCTGTCAACAATTACGTCAACGATTTGGATTTAAAATATTTCGAAACCGCATTCTTTTTGCGGTAAACAAAGACCACTTGAGTTGGTTGTGTGTACTCCATTTATATTTGTTTACCAGTTTACATAATTAACATTTAAAAAGTCGGTGAACTTCAATGGTTGTTTTTTGACTAGCTTGTTTGTTAAGTGGTTTAGCGGTTATGACTGCTAAGACAGAGGTTGTCTTCGAGAATCTAAAGTCGTCACAAAATAAGAAGCCCGTTTTGACGTTTCTCATTTGACATGCCGAGATAACTTTGTATAAACGTCTATGTAGCAAGTTGAAAAATCAAATTCATAATCCTATTTAATTACTATGTTACCCATACACTATCACAACGCGTATCATAAATAAGCATTAAGTTTAACTTTATATTGAAAAAATGCACTTAAAAACACGAATTAATCGTTGATTAATATTCCGGCAGGACTTTACTACAATGTCATATCTTTGGGTTGGTTGCCGTAGTGTTGTAACCTTTAAAAAGCCGTTTTATGGCCGAATAAAATAGTTTCTGAAAATCGTTTACAAAAATTACATTAAAAAAAGAGATAAATGTGTAATTAGTGTATTTTTTAATATTTAAACATATAAAAACAAAATCTGATCACATATAGTTTTAGCTTTATTTTGATATTTAATATGAATATTTTGATATCATACTAAATTAACTGCACGGATGGCGTAGTGGTTTAAGCGGTCGCCACGCCGCTTCCTACTACGCCGAGTGTTGTGGGTTCAAACCCCACATGGGACGACACTTTGTGTGATCCACAAATTGTTGTTCTGAGTCTGGGTGTTCTTTGTGTCCGTTTCATGTATGTTTGTAAAGTCCCCCGCGACACAGGATTTATTCCTAATGCGGGAGTTGTCTTTAAAAAAAAAAAAAAAAAAAATGATTTGGTTAAAAAACCTGGAGTGGACGCCGGGTTTTTTAACCAAATCATTTCATCATGATATTGAAAAAAATAATTCACCTCATTTTTCTGTCTCAAACGTCATGTCTCATTTTGCAACAGTCACATTTGACACCAGTCCTTAAAAGTCAGTCTATAAAAGTCTATAAAAAATTTGTTTCCTTTCTCTATGTACCTATAGAATGGTTTGTCTATGACCAAGCGGCACGTGATCCATGCGCGTACCGCGTACTGCGCAGTCTTTCGTTCGACATCTTGTGAAGTTGACTGTGCGCTCGTTTATGTTTGATATTTTTTCTAGACTCGGCTTTGCTTTTGGACTGTTTTTGTTTACTATCACGTTGACCTTGGCTCTTCTATTCCGGACATTGATTAGACATAGCGATTTGTACTCGATTTTGGTGTTTGTTGTTATATTGTACAAAGTCTGTTTCAACATGTCGAAAAGAGGACGTACAATCAACAGCCAAACACGCGAATTGGTTGTGAAGTTAACCGAATACTTCGAACGCGAATCAGTTAATGATGGACCATTATTACCCGTAACTCAAGTGCAAGATCGCGTAGCAGAAGCACTTGGAATCGGCAAAAAAACTATTCGAACCATTTTGAAGGAAAAGTATGGGTCTTCCGGTACTGAAGAAAATGTGTTACATACAGGCGTATGTAACACATTTTCTTCAGTACCGGAAGACCCATACTTTTCTTTCAAAATGTTTCGAATTCCGGTACTGAAGAAAATGTGTTACATACAGGCGTATGTAAGAGGAAAAAAAGCAAGCCTGTAACAGGTATTGACACATTTGACGCAGATGCTATTCGAAACTACGTATATGCTTATTACACGAAAAGTGAGTTCCCAACTGTAAGTAAGTTGGTGGTATCACTAAGAGAGGCTGGCCTGTTTAGTGGCAGTGCAACACCTTTAATAACAATTATGAAGCAAATTGGTTTCAAATACAAGAAAACCGACAAGAGGAAAATTATGATGAAACGATATGATATAATTTTGCACAGAGTATCATTCTTGAGGCAAATGAACAAAATTACAAATTGGGATAATGTCATATTTATCGATGAAACTTGGCTGAACTCAAATCATACCGTGCCACAGTCACGGATGATACCAAGGCATCTTGTTCAAAAGTGCCAATGGGTAAGGGTGGACGCCTAATAATCTACCATGCCGGATCAGCCGGGGGAGGTTTTGTGCATGATGCTCTACTCGCATTCGAGTCCAGAAGTACAAAAGAATACCACGAAGAAATGGATGCAAATAAATTCTTAGAGTGGTTTACTAAGTTGTTAATAAACCTCCCCGAACAGTGCACAATAATTGTGGATAATGCACCTTACCATTCAGTTCAAATAGATAAGGCACCTACTCAAGCAAGCAAAAAGGCAGATTTAGTGGCGTAGTTACAAAGAAAAGGTGTAGAAGCTGACATGAATTTATTGAAAGCTGAACTGCTGGAGTTAGTAAAACAAAATAAACCTGCAAAATAAAGATTTAAATCGGTGAATTGGCGCTTCAACATGGTCACAAATTGATAAGAACGCTGCCGTACCATTGTCAGTACAATGCTTTTGAATTAATCTGGGCTCAGGTCAAAGGATACGCAGCACGTCATCATACAAAGCCACCATTCTCCACTAAGAATATGATGACATTGTTAAAAGAAGCTTGTGATAAAATAACTAAAGAAGATTGGGCAAAAGTGGTAGAAAAGACGCGACTATTGATAATATTATAGAAAATGAAATAATTATATATACAGGCGACGATTGCTCATCTGGCTCGTCGTCAGAAGAAAATGATTGATTTCACTTTTCTTGATTTTGTTGTGATTGAGCTAAATTTTTAAATTAAAGACAAATTGACATTTCTTTCCATTGTATCATTTCAAATTGCCTATAACATTAAAGTTTAAGTTATATGTTCTAATTATAACTTAAATCCAATGCACTTTCTGATATATAGTCAAATCAATCAAATACTCTACAAGCTTGAATCGATTTATCGTAAGTATCGTGCACCGAGTCGTATGGTTAATCACTAGTTACGCCACCATGACAAATGTCAAAACGGGCTTCTTATTTTGAGACGACTGTAAGAGTTCCACTAGTCCCTACCAGCTGTCCCTCCTGGTGGGGACAAGCGGAATTTTATTTCTACTCTTCCCTACCTCACCGTCACTGGTTGGGATGAATGGAATTTCATTTCTACTTATCCCTACTAATAAAATTTTAACGTATTTTTTTTTTGTTTTGTTTTTTTTTCCATAACTTTATGCATAACTCCCGGACAAGAAACCGAAATCATATGAAGTTCTAACTGGGATGCTAAAATCGGTCGAAATCCGATGGTGCTTTTTTAACGATCGCACTGCAGTTTGGCGAAAAGGACGACAGTTAAAGCTAGATTAATTGAGAAACACGCGGCGAATTATTGCCTTGACTGCTGTGTTACTTCTTTTACCTGTAGACCTGGGCCTCAATTCTGCTATTTACGCCAAGCCAGTGTCATACCACTGACACGCTATTGAGATGCCATCGAGTGGCCATTGGCATCGGTATAAATACGGTAGTTGAAAATATATTACGTTTTTTGAGGAAATTATTTATTTATTTTTATATGTAATAGTAAGTTATTAAAAGAAATAAATAAATTAAATTAAATTATTTAAAAAATAAAAGTGGCTTGGCGTGAACATAAAATAGCAGAATTGAGGCCCTGGTGACAGATGGATGGTCTTATACAAAATCTAACATCATTGAAGATTTTGGCATGGAAAAAATCGTGAAGTATTTTGATAGGTGGCTTAAAAATAAAGAATTTCAGAAACAATGGAACGTCTTTGAACAATGGAACGACACCGCACCAATAATTTCGCAGAAGCGTGGCACTTTAAAAGAAACAATAAGCGTTCCACACATTTAAATTTGCTACAACTATTAAGTAAATTGTATAAATATGCAAATGGTGTTCTTAGAAATACATTGCAATCACCGTGTGGTGACGGATTTAGAATACATTGTCACCACCCCTATTCATCCCGTGGGTGACGTAAGAGCCGACTGAGAGAACAAACTACACAGGGCAACAGCACTGCAAAGAGAAGGAAAACTTGAAACAAACCCTGTACCGACCCGTTTGACCAGCGTGGTATAGTCGGCCAAAACCTCCTTTCTAATTAGAGGTCTATGTCCAGTAGTGGACGATTAAAGGCTGTTGATGATGATTGATGATCACCTTCAACAAAAGAAAAGGGAACAAAAATATATAATCCAGAACACAGACATACAAGATATACAAATGCAGCTAGTGACTGGTAACATTGATGTTAGATTATTATGTTTGGTGAAGTTTCGCTAAATTATTATTATTTTACCATTAGAATCATTGGTTGAGACAATATTATTCGCAAATTATAATAAATATAATTTAATAATATAATAAATAATTTTTTTTTTTTTCACATGTCACATCAACAGCCTATACTAGTCTACTGTTGGACATAGGCCTCTCCTTAGAAAGGAGGTTTTGGCCTACTATACCACGCTGGCCAGACGGGTTGGTATAGGGTTTGTTTCAAGTTTTCCTTCTCTTTGCAGTTCTGTTGTCCTGCTTAGTTTGCTCCCTTAGTCGGCTCTTACGACACCCACGGGATGAATTGGGGTGGTGACAATTTGTATTCTTAATCCGTCGTACTTTATTGTAGACTGTACTTATTAACAAAGTTGGTTTAGTAGGGACATCAGTAGGGTTTCATCCCAGAAATCGTCCTTCAAGGGGCTGAAAAGAGGGATGGAAGTTTGTATGGGAAATAAAAACCACAGAACCGATTTAGATGAGATGAATTTGGTATGGAGATAATAAATACATACATATTATACATACATACTATATCAACTCCTTCGGTGGTGCAGTGGTAGCGTATGCGACTGCTGTTCTGAGGACCAAGGACCAGACCAAGTATTTGTATAATCTGCAAATATTTGTTTCGGTGTTTGGGTGTTTTCTATGTATAATGCCGTGCCTCCCTGATGTAGCTGAATGACAGGCTATTGAATGTTTTGGCGATGTCTAATGACACCGCCAGGAGCCACCAGAGTTCTTTGGTCACGATCCTGAGGCGCCACATAACCCCGATCGTCGAACGCCCCGATCGCTCGCGAACGGTCGAAAACCGAATTGGACATCTGAGAGATCGGGACCCACCTCGCAGAGCTGCCGGACGATGCGGCCAGAAAGAACCCTCTCAAATAATTTACCCGACTCATCCAGCAACACCATGGACGTGTATATCGCAACTGAATTGGCATTCTGTCCTGGCATTCTGGCTTCGTTAGCAAGACCAGTTTCCCGCTCTTCCAGCACTGTCGGAAACGTTCGGACGCCAAGCTAGCGTCGAGCACCTCCCTAAGGGGGTCTGACATGAGGTCGAGGGATAAGGTCAGCACTCGAGTATGTATCCCGTCTGGTCCGGGAGCGGTGGCCTTGGAACGGATCGGTAAAACAGCTGCCTCTACCTCCACATCGGTGACGAGTGGACCATCATAACGGACGTGACATAAAGGGCATTGAATTGAGGGTCCGGATGTCTTAATAACAGCTGTACCCGAGTCCATCCTATTTCAGGCACAGAGTAACACACCGTGTAGTTTTAATCTGTTCAATTCCGACACGCCGCCCCACCGCAAATTCCGGCGGGTTTCCACACTTAAAAAAGGGTTTTGAATTGTAGAGATTAGTAGGGGTGGCAAAAATGTAATAGCCTACTGGCGGCAAATTTGTAAATCCGCCACTGATACCTATGCTTTATTTATTTATAACAACGAAATATATTAATTATTATTCTAAATCATTTCTTCCAGTTTCTGTGCATTCTTGACTTTGTCAGCTAGGAGTTGTTGGCACTTCGTCGTAAGGAGAGAAATTATAAATGAAATATTCGGCTAAATAACGGCACACATAGACGGGCATGTTGGTATTGTGGTTAGTGACCCTGACTGCTAAGCCGGAGGTCGTGGGTTCGAATTCCACCCAGGACAAATATTTGTGTGATGAGCAACGATCGTTTGTTCTGTGTCTGGGTATAATTTATCTATAATATGTATGTATTTAGCACTATATAAGTATGATTAACAACAGTGTGGTGTGCCGTGTGTGTAATGTATCAGGTTAATATTATGAAAATAAAACATAAAGTTTGAGATGCAAGATGCTTATAATATACATATATTTAATTCAGAAGTTGAAAAAGAAAAAATATATTAATATGTAAATAATAAGATCGAATGACAGACTAGAAGAAAGATTTTTTATTTTTAAGAGGTATTTTTTAAGAGACAATTATTAACGGTGGTGTGGGCTAGTTTTGTTTTTAATATTTTTTTCATATTGTTTTTGTTTCGTTGACGATGATACACATCTACATAAAAAAAACTACACATTTTACACAAAAGACGATTTCAAACAATTTTATGAAATAAAGATATTTGAGTTTGAGTTAAAGAACAGAGCTTGGACAGGATTGTTTGAATTACAACCATATTTTACTAACGTCGTTGACCTTTGTCAAGTTGTGTTTTTTACAAAGACTAGTATTAAGTTAACTGTGATTGTATACACTTCCCATAATACGACAGATCAAAGAATACACATAAAAGAATTTGGCCTATAAACCTCAAGTTCGAGCTTTTCGAGTTTTGGGTTCGAGTTGTTTTTGACAGACAAGGATTTGCTTTCTATTGTTTATTATTTCTAGTTATAATTTACTGACGTACAAGGTTTTACTTTCTAATTTATTTAAAAATTGCTTTTTTTAATCTTAATTTACATTAGTCATAAATATTTGTAAGTAATAATTAATCCCAATATAATATTAAAATTTATATGTCAGATTTATTAGGAATACGTAATATCACCCCTTTCGTCGTAAAAGTCGACTAAGGGAGAAAACTACGCAAGACAACAGCACTACAAAGAGAAGGAAAACTTGAAACAAACCCTATACCAACCCGTCTAGCCAGCGTGGTATAAAACCTCCTTTCAGAGGAGAGGCCTATGTCCATCAGTGGACTATCATAGGCTGTTGATGATGATGATGTGACGTCAGAATGTACCAGGAACTTCACTTACTCAACATCTAATTTGTATTTTTAACTACAATATAAACAAATAAAATTTGATTTGACGGAAAGGACCGAGCAAAATAACAATTATTTCCTAAAGAAATAAAATTTAAAAAAAATCCTTACCTGCCACTTCCAATGCGTGGTCCAGATCAGCAGCATATTTTTCTTGTTTATTCATATCCGCTTCCATCTTCTTGTGACCGTCCATTTCGTACTACTAACTGACTGCGAATTCACTAAAAGTTTTTCAATATATCGCTCGTTTGATTTTGCATTTAGTTATATATTCACACAACCGGCAATTCCAGCTCGTCCTCACCATTTAAATTTGATTACTCAAGTGGGCCCGAGCAACGTACGACAAGTTTATATAGTGTTCAGTTGTTTTGATGTATACTTTCTGCAAATACATTAAGCACATGAAAAATGGCTCTGCCCACCACAGATAGGAATAAAGCTAGAGAGTTCATGTCATCTAGGGTCACGGTATTTTTTTCTCCCTGTCGGGAGTGGCGAAAGAATTCAGCTGCGGTTCTAGATCTACCGGTCATTGGCATGCAGAGTTATTAGTCGGTAAGAGTCAGACAGAACTCTTCGAATGGCCGAAGGATGTCCATGAAAATCTTCCACCCCGTTTTAAAGAAAAGGGCTACAGTATTTTTTTTGGTGAGTTTTTAAAACACTTAAATTTTTAGAGATATGACACGTACGACGTGTAGGACGCCCACAGGCCAGGTGGAGTGACGATTTGCGCAAGATGGCTGGCAGGAGCTGGATGCGAGAAGCCCAAAATCGATCTAAGTGGCGTGCAATGGGAGAGGCCTATGTCCAGCAGTGGACTGCGATAGGCTGATGATGATGATGATGATGATGATGACACGTACGTCTTAAATTATTGATACTCTCTTTTAAATAGACATTTTGTTAAATTACTTATTTATCCCAGTCAACCTGATGTAGAAATATGATATTAAATTTAATAAATAATGAAGTAAAATATTAAATTTAATATAATTTAGGTCCAGAAACATACACAATATATAAACACACATACATACATTAAACCTAGATAAATTTAATAAAATATATAAATACTCAGTCGGGTACTAGCGTTGTGACTGTTCTGCCAATTCACCCCGAAGAAGATCGCGCACTTTTCTCTTGAATGCAAGGCGGTTTGTGGACATTCTGATTTCGGATTCGGATTTCGGATTAAATTTGATAACTTACCGTTTATAAATCAAGAAAGTTAAATTTATAAATCGAAATTTCTTACATATTTAAAATTATGCACAATCTGTATAAAAAAAGCTACATGGAGGTCTAAATACTCGTATATCATTATTTTGACCAATCATGCTAAAGAAAGTCTTTGTCAATTGATGTTACCCTGGTCAAGATTGATTGGTAATTAGAACGATTCCTTCTGAAACACAGAAGGCCATAAATATATTAAACAAAAAAAAATACAGTCGAATTGAGAACCTCCTCCTTTTTTTGAAGTCGTTTAAAAAGATAGTACGTAGTTGGTATACTGGTATACTATTGGACATGCCATACCACCTAAGTTACATTTTGAAACGCAATAAGGTATTGAGTATTCAGACATGACGTGAAAAATAATAATATTAAATACCACGAGGCGGTCAGAAGTATAAATAAACGGTCCTAATTGTGCCTTCCATCATCAACAGCCTTTAACAGTCCACTGCTGGACATATGCCTCTCCTTAGAAAGGAGGTTTTGGCCTAATATACCACGCTGGCCAGACGGGTTGGTATAGGGTTTGTTTCAACTTTTCCTTCTCTTTGCAGTGCTGTTGTCCTGCGTAGTTTGCTCCTTTAGTCGTCTCTTACGACACCCACGGGATAAATAGGGGTGGTGACACTCCGTATTCTTAATCCGTCACCACACGGACAATTGTGCCTTTAGGTATTTTAAATACTTCTGACACGTGTATTTCTTCTATATCATGACTAGCTGACCCTGCAAACGTTGTTTTGCTATTTACATTATTTAAATATATATATTTTTTGAATTTCTTAAAATCCGTTCTTAGCTGACCTCTACTCGGTGAAAAGAATATTCCTACCAAATTTCAAGTCTTTAGCTCTAATGGTTCCAGAGATATCGTGATGAGTGACTATATACGTGGAAATCTCTTCTATATATATAGATTATATAACACATAGATACTATTCTTGGTTTCAATTTTACAGTTCAAGTATTTAAGGAGAATTGCTATACTGGAAAGTGCCTGAAATGAACTAAAATTAAATATACACCAAATGATATTTTTTGTAAACGTAGATGATTTTGAAATCATTCTATGTTTTGGCTTAGCATGAACTTTTGTTTAAGCAGTCGATAACAATCGTGTTAATTCTACACAGGAAAAATTGGGGTATTTATTCATTTATTCGTTCATTTGTTATCTATACTCTATACAAATAAATAAAATTTGAGTGTATGTTTGTAATATTAAAATAGCCGCTTTTACTACTTACTTACTAAATGCATATGTATGTTTACACGGTACATATGCCAAAATAACATTTTTTACAATTTTTGTCTGTCTGTCTGTTTGTTCCGGGTAATCTCTGGAACGGCTGGACCGATTTTGACGGGACTTTCACTGGCAGATAGCTGATGACATAAGGAGTAACTTAGGCTACTTTTTTTAGACTAGCTTCGCCCCGCGGCGTTGCCCGCGGTTATAACAACAAACGCGGGTAACACCGCGGGTCTCAGCTAGTTATTTATAATATCAAAAACTGCATGGAACTGGCACCATCTTCAGCAATTTTTGTTAATAAATAAAGCCCAAAAGCCGAAGTATGCACTTCTGTTGCGATGTGTGTTGCGTAGTTATTAATACCAGGCACTGTATGCATTGAATTGACTTTATCAGATTTTGTTGGTGGAACAGGTTCATGAAAAGCAAAATTTCAAGGCTGGTTGCTACAGACAGACAGAAAGACAGACAGACAGACAGAAAGACAAACAGACAGAAAGACAGACAGACAGAAAGACAGACAGACAAAAAAAAATTGGGTTTTTGGCATAAGTATCGTGCAAATAACCGTGTGAGCACGATAAACACCTATTATTTTGACATTACAAACAGATACACTTCAGTTCTGGTTATTTGTATAGATTACTTTTTTGCCGTAAAACAGGTTATTTTATTAAATTGGTAGTGTTTTTCTTGTTTTCACCGACGTACGAAGAGGATGAGAAAGAGGAGGTCCTTAATTCGACTTCATTTTCAACATTTCTTGTCTTTCTCTGTCGGTCTCAAAATCTTGATTTTGAAGTTTTAAGTCCCACTGTCGCCGTCACATTAAAGATACGGGAAGCCGTTGGATGCTTGTAGCACAGGACCAGTTGTTGTGACGAACCTAAGGCGAGGCCTATGTCCAGCAGTGAGAAATGCAGCTGAAATGATGATGGTTAAAGAAAGAACACCAAAAGCCACTAAATAACTTGTTGTAAAAATACTCGAGTCAAAACCGTTAGCAACTCTAACCTATTTGTTCAGACGCAGAGCTGTAGGGCAAGAAATAGGATTATGGAAGTCGCTAGCGGCTAGAAGTAAAATCGTCGATTGTAGGCTAGGATTATATGGTCGAAACGAAACATATTATCCTCGATAATATTTTACGTTTTTAGCAGTCCAACAGTTTGGTAAGGATTGCTTGTCCAAGAAACCTAAAGACGAGTAGTAAATCTGGTTTTAGCTTTTTAGGGTACCGTGCCTCAAAAGGAAAAACGCGTAAGGGGTCCCCTCCCCCCTCCCGGTCGGAACGAATTCTTTTGCTTTATGGTAGACGTTTCTTATATATATATTAAATATAAAGAAGTTGTGGGCATCGACGAGCCATCTGAAGTGTCGGAAAAAAGTCTTGTTACACATTTTTGGTCTCGCTCCCATCCGCTCAAGCGTGCGAACTTTGTTCCAAAAACGAAACCTTATAGGATCACTTTGTTGTCCGTCTGTCTGTCTGGACCCTTCATCTCGGGAACGACATGGAATTATCTAGTTGAAATTAAAACTATATACCATCAGGTTTACAGTCCCTTGAAAAATCAATCATCACACAAACACAATATAAGTAATTATAGATTTTGGAAAATGAATTTCGGGAAAAGCTCGGAAAAAACTACGAGACTCGATTCCTGAACGTGTGGGCGAGTCAGAATCGCACTTTTGCGGCTTTTTTAAAAATTCAAGTCGATTTTGACACATGGTTGTTTTTTTTTAACTATAATCATTTATTTGATAACCAATCAATACAGAGAGCCAAATGGATTTTGCTTATGGACACATAAATGTGAACCCTTCTAATCTTAGGATGTATAGAAATTAACAGAAATTAAAAAACTGAACTTAATTTATTCTTGTAAAATTAATAAAAGAGTCGTAGTGTTCTGCTGACCCTTCATGTGATTACGTATTGATAGTTGGCAAAGTGTAGGTTTAAGACACACTTCTGCTTACCCCTCGTGGGTACTGTCGCACTCTTATATATTTTCTTAATTGTAGTGTTACGAGCTGGGTATATAAATAATAAAAGTTGTCGGTTAATTACTTTATTTCATTTTATTTACAAACACTCTACTAGTAATCACTATACTCGTATATCTTGTTAGTCGCACTTGAAATTCACTCCGATGTTAATTCGCTGTGTCGTAAAACGAAACTGTCTCGAACAGCCAACACGCTCCGCTTTTATTGCGCTTTTGAATTTTACTAGAAAGTTCCTAGTATTCGACAGTCCGTTCCAAACAAACACGAAAATTCCAGAATCAGTCACGCGTTACTTGCAGCGCCATCTAGCGCTGTAAGGATAAGAACTACTCGTATTAACCACAATCTTAATAGATGTACTTTAGTCGATACTAGATGTGTCTTCCACATTTAATAGAATCGAACCATTTAATCCTATGGAGCAACAATAGTATTAAGCTTAATAAAATCGTTTGTAAAATACCTAATTTAATAGTTAAATGTATTTTGAGATCTTCAATTTAAATAATTTTCTCCTTTTTTCTATTTTATTACCTTCGAATCAACCGCTTTATACAAATTCACAACTATTTCTTATTAACTGTCATTATTTACTAAGTAAATTATAAATATGACTATAAAACAGGTTTTTATAACGACTATTACTTAGCTATGATAAATAAGAAATTCAATTGGAA